CAGGAAAAAGAGCGTCGCAAATAATATTTTTAGGATCTCTACCTGAGAGCTATTGGAAGTAGACATTGATATAGTATTTAATACTGAGTATTGAATACATGAAGTCAACTTAAAAATTAAAAAAAGTCATCTTAATTTTTGTCGCAATATTTACACCAAAGAACTGTAAATATATTTTTAAGTATTAAAAGAAAACTTTAAAGTTTAGTAGATATTATACTCTATAAAATAAAATTATGAAAAGTTTTATAATAGCGTAGTGTGCATTTGAATTCTACTTAACATAACCTAATCATAATATCTTTGAATTTATTAAAAGAAATCTTTAACTGCGTTCAATAATTCTTAAACGTGCTTCATTTGAATTTTTAGATTATAATTATATTAATTAGTATTTTAGGTGCTCATCGCCTCAAAAATTGAATTCGTATATATACATATATATATATCCAATTTTTGATCGATTCTTTCACAATCGATTCATTTCAATCCGATTAATCAATTCATCAATTCTTTTTTACAGAATTTAATCGATTATGAGAATCGATTTTTTTTTGTGTAAAGTCGCATCACTACGCGGTGGGGAATCGTTCGCGCGGCACGACGACTCGCTCGCTCCCCCGGGACCGCTAGAGCATAAAGTAATGCGCCGGCGAGCGGAACGCACGGAATCGGGGCCCCGAGACACCGCGTGCGTTACACGGCTTGGAGCGATGGCTGACGAAACATCGAGGGACACGTCGTTGCTGATTCGCGTGAAGGAGCAGTGCGAGGTGGTGCGACGACTGAAAGCCGCGAAAGTCAACAGCACACAGGTAACGCGCGGGCCCTCGAAGGCCCTTTCAGGCCCCTCATCTCCCTCTCCCCCCCCCCTCGCGGGAATCCTCGCTCGGGGACACGCCGCGTCCCCGTGACACAGATGTCCACCTCCTTTCTCCACGTTGTCCTCGTCGGAGGGGGCTCGGTTCGGTTTTCCCCTCCGCCCCGCGTTCAATTACACCCTGTCATCGTGTCACCTTCGCACTTCCTTCCGCGAAATCGGTCTCCGCCGCACACGAAACTGGTCTCTCGATCTTTTTTTCACCTCAACCGCGGTTTTATACCGCGCAAACGGTTTTGCACTCGCACGTTGCATCATAACCCCCCCCCTTCCAGTACCGCGCCTCGATCTCTCTCCACCACGTCGTGGCCCGGCCGGGGTCCGTTGGCTTCAGCTGCACGCGAAAGTGAAAACCGATTCCTCCTGTTTTCTCTCAATAATGAAAATGCAGCTGGAGCGAACAGACCTTTCTCGCAACAATGGGGTATGATGCAACGCAGCAGCGGCCCCTCGCAATGTGACAGCGATCTTTAGTCAGCAAAAGAACAGATTTCTCTTTCCCTTTTTTTTGCCGCCAATGCCCTCCCGGGTCTTTCTCTACGGAGAGACGTCTCTCGTTTCGTTCAGGAACAGCACACAGAGCGGTCTGATATAAGTGTTGAGTTAGACGGCTTGAACGATGATTTTGCGGATATCAGCTACGCTGGTGGTTGGTGCCCTACGTCCAGAGACGCCGAACTGTACGACGCGTTGCGCGTCGTCCTTAACGATGAGCTCGCAAGGTGGCCGCATCTGTGCAGGTGGCACATTAACATGACAAGCTTCACCCAGGAGGAGCGCCTGGCGTTTCCCGCTGCCGCGGAAACGCCGCTCGCTGCTTCCCTGGCGGCAAAGGTCGAGCGGCTAAAGAGCACTCGCTATATTAGCAAAAGTATGCTAGACAAAAAGGTGAGGCAGCCGGTTGCTTGCTGCAAGCAGAGCTGCCATAAATTATTGCGAAAACTGCTGGAGGGGAAAAGCGAAGGTGCGGGAAAAGATTCTTCCGGCAGGAGGACGTGTGGAAGCTTTTGCATGAAAAACGTGGATGTAGCTTGGAAAACGAATATTCTTTCATTCTGAGAAGTTTCTTAACTTTCCTGAGAAATACCTTGCATTCTTCCCAAATTCTGAAAATTTAATGGCAAAGTTTGTAATCTAAAGGGGAAAAAATCAAAGACAATGTTAATAGTGTAGACAATAATATGGCAATAATTAATGGCAGCCTCTTACCAGCTTGCTTGACTGATGTTATCTCTGCTGTTTGGACTAGTTTGATAAATCAACATTGAGGGGGCTTTTCTCTTTCATTCTGGTTGCCTTCTAATCCCTTCGTCCGTTCACGATGTTACGCCTGATACGCAACAATTCTTTCCCCGTCGTGTGGAAACGCAATCGCAACGTACCGATGTCTACGACGCCACAGGTGGGTACGACGTTCTCGACTATCGTACCCTGGATAAACTGAGAGCGGGATCGTCGCCACGTTCTGTATATTAATACGCCGCGTGTTTGCCTGTTCGTAGATAGCGGAGGAGGTTGCCAAGCTGCTGGACCTGAAAGCACAATTGGGCGAGGAGAATGGCTGCCCTCACAAACTCATCCTCAAAACGCCGAAAGGCACGAGGGATTACAATCCGGAGCAAATGGCGCTGCGACTGGGAGTACTGGAGAAAATAATATCGGTATTCAAGCGTCACGGCGCCGAGACGATAGATACGCCTGTATTCGAGCTGAAGGTAAGAATTATCGTAAAGGACAACGTTGATTTCGATTATTGGATCTCATTGATATTGATACTGATTCTACCTTGTGTTACACACAGGATGTCCTGACGGGTAAATACGGCGAGGACTCCAAGCTCATCTACGACCTGAAGGACCAGGGCGGCGAGATCCTCGCACTTAGATACGATTTAACAGTTCCTTTCGCGAGATATCTGGCCATGAGCAAGATCTCGTCCATCAAACGATATCACATCGCCAAGGTCTACCGACGGGATAACCCAGCGACGACGAAAGGCAGATACAGGGAATTTTATCAATGTGTAAGCGCAATGTGCATCCTATGACATATCATTCATTTAGAGAATTTCATTTCATTGGCACACTTCGTGTAAATTTAATTTTAACGTTGGTATCCTCAAGGATTTCGACATCGCCGGCCAGTACGACCCGATGCTACCGGACGTGGAGTGCATCCGGGTTGTGTGCGAAGCGTTGGAAGCTCTGAACCTGGGGCCATACTTGATCAAAGTGAATCACAGATCCTTGCTGGACGGCATATTCGCCGCGAGCGGCGTGCCGCAGAGTAAATTCCGCGGTATCTGCTCCGCCGTGGACAAGCTGGACAAGAGCCCGTGGGAGGAGGTGAAGAAAGAGATGACGGACGAGAAGGGATTGGACGAGCATATCGCCGATAAGGTCGGCAAGTACGTCTCGCAGTCCGGTGGCGTGGAACTGGTGGCGGAGTTGAGAAAGGACAAAGAGCTGATGAAACAGACCGTCGCTGTACAGGGCTTGGACTCTATGGAACTGTTGCTGAAGTACTGCCGCATCTACAAAATTCTCGACAAAATTAAGTTCGATTTGAGTCTCGCGAGGGGACTCGATTACTACACGGGTGTTATTTACGAAGCTATATTATGTGGTACGCATCTTACTTTCTAAATTTTCTCCCTATATTTCATGACGGAAATAATTTGGACGAAATATTAATAACGTCCGTTAATCCTTCGCAGGGGACGACGTCGGTGTTGGAAGCGTGGCAGGTGGCGGCCGTTACGATAATTTGGTGGGAATGTTCGACAGCAAGAACAAAAATGTATCCTGTGTCGGCGTGTCGGTGGGCGTGGAGCGGATATTCAGCGTTATGGAGGCGAAATTGGCGAACAAGGGCCTGAAGACGCGCACCGCCGAGATCGAGGTGTTCGTGGCGAGTGCGCAGAAGAATCTGCACGAGGAGAGGATGAAGATACTGGTGAATCTGTGGGAGGCCGGCGTGAAGGCGGAGCAGTCCTACAAGAAGAACGCCAAGCTCCTGGCGCAGCTGCAGCACTGCGAGGAGAACGGCATCCCGCTGGCGATAATTGTCGGGGAGGGCGAGCTGGCGAAAGGTGAAGTTACACTGAGAGTCGTCTCGACGCGAGAGGAGACTCGCGTACCACGTGGCAGCCTCGTCGAGGAAATACGGAGGCAGCTAAATACGTTGTCGTAGCATCCCCGTGTACGTCTCTCACGCCGCCGAGAGATCTACATCAGTACAAGAACATATTTATACTACATTTAGTTTCATTTTTTTTTCTCGATCCGTGCGATCCGGAAAAGTCTATTTATTAGATTTTGCATGAATTTACTTGTATCGCACGACGTGCTAACGACCGTGATAAACTTACTTGTCACCGATAGATGCTAATTGTGTGATACATCGAGTGAACGCACGAAGTGTGTAACGATGTTCCACACTTACCGCTCTTACGTTACCTGCGTGAACATTAGACAATTTCTACGTGGATTAACCTCCTTTAATCGAATTTCTCCGTATGAAATCTGTGCAATTTAACCAGATTACTTGACTGGTAATAATTCACAGCTTCGAGCTACCGCTCGACAAACCAAATACATTTTCATAATTTATTCTGCAAGAACTTGTCAATAAAATGTTGTAAATTTCGTAAATATGTCTCGTTACTTGCGTTTACTACATTCAAACATTGATTTCAAGATTTAGCGGAATAAATATGATCGCGTGAGTGATTGTGATAAATGTCCAAGTCACAAGCTCGCAACTGACAATATTTGAACTGCGATACGAAATATTAATCTGCTTCGATTATTTCGATTATTTGACGTGATTTACGCGTTCTAGATTAATAATAAATTCACGAATCGACGGATTTTAATTTCAGTAAATTCCAGATTTAATAAAAGATCCGCTGTTCATTACGTGATGCACTTACATAATATATATTTTTCTAAGTAATTTATTTCTATTGATTTGTTAAATTGAGGATACATATGTCTTATTCCTTATATCACAGTCTTTTCTTATCGAGTTTCAATTAAAATATATGCATATTTTAAATTACTTACGTATCTAATAATTATCATTATATTAGAGCGTTATCTAATATCTCATAAAATATACATTTCTCTTGAAAAATGCTACAAATCCGACTAGTGTGAAAAATTAGATACTTATGTACATACATCGATGAAGACAACTTTCTCCACAAAGCTGATCACCTTATTGCTGAGTTACATCTATTCCGTAATTTGCATATCGAAGTATGCATCTGTATAAAATTATATTTTTTCTATCTACATCTTTTCTTAATAAATTACGTATCGCTTTGAAACAAAACAAGATTTTGTTACTTACTATAGTAAAAAGAATCCGATACACTAGCATACATAGGATAAAATAGGATATCATTTCTTGCACACGTAATACACGCAGTAAAATTGCAAATCTCTAACGAGTACGATTCCCATAGTTTTCATCATTTCCTGTGATTCAGAAAAATGGATTATTTTTCGCAAAATGTAGAGTCAATCTTTTCCTAACAAAAATATCAATTACGTCTGTAAACGTACTCTGTAAAACTAATTTAAAAATTATTAGGATCTCGATATTTTCGATTTTTAAACAAAATTTGACTCCAAATTTTTTTTAAATAAAATTAAAACTATATATGTTTCCTTAATTGTTGAATCTTCCACATAAATTTGTTTCTCTTTTTTTTTATTTTTCACCAGGTTTCTCGATTTTAATTTCCTTCAAGTCTGCATCTTCTTCCTTTCGAGCAGCCCTCGTCATAGCTCTGTACTGCTCGAACGGATTGATCGTCGGCTTCTCTATAGTCGCTTGCAGCGGTGGCTTGTACGAGTCGATCAACACACTGGGCTTCCCCTTTCTCGATTCTGAGATACTTCCGCTACTCGTCGACGCGCCTAAATTATCAATTACACACATGTATGTGCCATCCTGTTTCTTCTCCATTTCACGCGAATCTTCCTTGACATCCACATTCGTCTCTTGCATCCCCTTCTGGAGCGTCCTACCCAGTTCGTCGTTCAGCTTCATCAATTTTTGCTCGAACACGGAGGACGACTTGTAAACCGGTTGATAAACTGGTATAGAATCCTCTTGGGGATATGTTCCGTCTCTCTGCATGCTTAAAATCATGGATTCGTTCAACGCCGCGGGCGGCTCACTGGGAATCCCGAAAACGAAGGGATTAATCGACGAGATTACACCTTCCTGATCCCTCCACGGTGCAATTTGCGTATCTCTCGAACCTGAGGCAACTACCGCGGATTGCTGAAGTTCATTTTTCGCGGTCATTACCTCCTCCGCCGGCGACAAGATGGTTACCGTTTTCTGACTCGAGCTGCTCGGTTTGCTAACGTCGATAGTCTTGGTGCTGTCCATAGCGAGGGGGCTGAGAGGAGGGGTGGTCTTCTCGCGTTTGTCGGAGTAAACGTCGCTGAGGCTGAACGCCCTGGAGCGGCGACGTAGGTTCATCTGAGTGATCTGCCGCTGAAGCATGCCCCCTTTCCACTTCGGCAACGGTTTAGGCGTGTGCAACGGCGATGGCGTGGACTTGGTGCTCGTCGGACTCGGTTGCGTGCCGAGCTGAGCGGGCCTTATGGAGAAACGTCGATTGCCGGACGGCTGTTGGATCGGCGATGAAATTCCCGGCGGCCCCTCCATGCTCACGAGCGGTTCCCTCGGCGACACGGAAATGAAGGGTTCTTGAAGATTTCGATTGTCCATCCTTTGAGAGAGTCGTAGCTGAAAAAAATAATTTTGTTTTTTAGAATAAGTTTTAAGATCACTATCATTTATGCTGAATTATTAATTACTGTACCCCTGTATTGTCTTATAATTTATTTCAAGGTTTTTAATTTACAATATCGGCGGTTGTGAGAAAATTTGACAACAAAAAAAACTTGATTTTCAATAGTGCAAGCTTACCGATCGCGGTGACCCATAATCAGGCGGCGTCGGAGGACTAACTGGGGTCGCTACCGGCCTCAAAGAGAATCTCCTAGGCTTCGCGGGAACGCTTCCCTTCCTGATATAAAACGTAGGCGTGCTGGAGCCGGAATCGGCTAATTTGAGGGACATTCTCCTGCTCGACTGCGCTCCCGTGACAGTGTTCTGATTGCTCTGATTCGCCGAAACGGAACCGGGCGCGTTCGAGAAGAGGGTGAAAAGACTGGGTAACTTCGGCGGGCTCAAGCTGGCCGTCCCGAGTTTTCTCTTGGGTTTCTCTTGGGCAACGTACTCGTCGGGAACCGTTCCCACTCGTGCGTGAAGAGCGGTCAATGCTCTAAGGAAATCCGCCAGACTCGTCTCTTCCAGCAGATTGTTGCCCTCCAGATAACCCGGCAGGTCGCCACCGGTGTGCGTGTAGTAATGCGGCCTCCTCAAGATCGAATCGTGTCTCTCGTCCAAGTACGAGGGACCGATCGAATTATTCTGCTGCGAATTGCTCTTCTCGCTGTCGTTCACTATTTCAACGGTTTTCTTCGTGCTCCTCGTATTGGGACCAACGTCCGACGACCTCTTATTTGTGAATTGCTTACTCCATCTGGGGAAGAGGTTCTTGGACGCGGTAATCGGCAAAGCGAGCGACGCGAACTTCTTGTACGGCTTGTTGGTACTGTCCTTCGAGGACACGGTAGTGTCGCGATCCTTCATCATCTCCTGCAGCTTCGTCGAGGCGACTCCGGACCAGGTCCATTCGGTGTTATGTCGAGCGGTATCGTCCTTCGTGGTATTCAGTCGTATCTCGCTGGTCGCTCTGGAACGAGGCTTGAAGGCTTGAGGAAACTTTTCACCACCGATTGTCCATTGAGGGAGATTGTTGGCTGCGCCTTGATCAGCCGATTTATTCTGCTGCGTCTCGTTCTGCGCGTCGATCGGTTCCTCGGTCTGGTCCCACTCAAAGTCGTCCCGTGGAGGTATGTAACCGAGGATGTTCACCAAGCGCGCCAAGAGTTCCGCTGGTTGCACTATTGCGTGCGCGGCGAACGTCGCGTTCTTGTCTATCCTTTGAAGATCCGTCTCGGACACCACACGTGTCAGTTCATCCTTTAAATAATGCATTATTCAAAATATTATTAAGTTTAAGAAGAGGTAAGGAATAATATAATATTAAAAAAAAATTATAGCTTACCATTGGTACCACTTCGCTGTTAGCTCGTCGTCGCGGATGCGGTATAAAGCTGTCGTATCCACCAATTGTTAAATCTCGGAGATTCGGAAAACTGTTGCTGCGCGGGAATTTCGCCGGAGGTTCCTCGGATTCGTACTCATCTACGTATACTCTCTGATGAAAGAAAATGATAAATGTTAATAATAATTGAATAAATGATCAATATTAACTAAACAGTAATCGGTGCTTAGAAAGTTTTATTAATAATATTAATAGAAATAATAATGTAAAAAAATTAATACTGCATTAATTCACCATATTATAATAATTATTAAAAATATCTCAATTCAGAATATGGCAAATATAATTGGCGAGTGATTAAAAAGTAAGTTATTCAACACGACGAATTAAAAGAGAATTTTACAATGTCTATTAATTATCGAATAAATTTATTAGGATTTCGAATAAACTTATTTAGAAAAAAGGTGTTCAAACATTTTTCATAGAAATGTACGAAAATATTTTCGCGTGAAAAAAATATGCGGTTGCTTAAGGTTGTCTGGTCCAAGTCACAACCAGGTCACTTACTTTGACCTTAGAGAGCTGCAACTCGTTGAAAACGCGGCGCAGGTAGTTGACCTCTTTGTTAAACTCGTTCCAAATCTTGCTCTGCGTAAGCTTGAGATTCATCGCCAGTTTGTGCTCGAGTCTCGTAAACTTCTTGCTGCGCATGCCGCGAGCGATGAATGTCATTATCATGACGATGTAGCCCAGCCCGAAGGAGATCCAGCAAATCAGGAATATCTTGTACATGATGAAGAATGGGCCGCTCCCCTTCGTATTGTCCTGGCCTGCGAGATTCAAGCAGAGAGTTAAGAACAGCGGAATAACTTCTTTATAGAGCAAAAGTTTCTTCCTTCAATTTCCACTCGTACTTGACTTCAATTGGCTTTGAAAATTCACTTTAAACACGAATTTTGAATAATTTTCATATGGGAGTCATGAATAGATATTTCAATTGTACATTTTTATTGCTGATCGACTTATCCGTTCATGTTTTATTTATTTTTTTTATTAGCTGTGCAACTGTATATGCAAACGCGCTACTTTTTAATTTATGGCGTATGGAGAACATTACTTACATGTTAAAATCTGCTTTCCACGTGAGCATGTAACGATTGAAAACATTCGTCTTTTAATTAGGCGGAACAGGCAAGCTCATAGGTTGTATGCTTCGAAGCGATTGATGTATATACGATAAGAGTACAAGTGTACACCGTTTCAATATTATCAATCAAGAAAGCTGACGAAATTTATCGAATGTATAGTCTCAAGTGGCCTGATATTATCAAATCAAATCAACAAATGTTAATAATTCTGAATTTTATATTACATTTAATTGAAAATAAATGCTTTTATTTAGCAAATTCATATTAATTAATAATAAAAAAAATAATTTTCTTCTAAAAAATAGACTAAACATCGATTTTTTTATTTCTCAGAATTCAAGCTCGTAGAACTTATAATTTTTTCTTATGCACATTATAATAAAAAATAGGAATATTTTTAATTTACGATTAATTACGGTTAAGATTATTTCTCAATTTCCTATAATAAGTTTAATTTATGTAAGTACTTCCTCATTCCATCGTGATAAATTTTTCAGAAGTATTATCTTATTCAGCAGCTATCGATCATATGATAACATAACACAGATATGCGTTCTATAATCGTTTATACATGAATAATCCCGTGATTTATAATAGACAGCCTGAACATAAAAATTCCTTCAGTCACGACGCAACCAATAATTTTATCGTACTTCTGCAATATGTCTTTGCCATACATCTGCGGCGTAGTTTAAGTTATGAATAATACGACTGTATAAATGATATGAATGATATAATACATCGTCCGTAGAGAATGAAAAAAAAAAGAGCCATTTCCGAGAACTGTCGGAGAGCACGCGATTCCGCGACTTGCGCGCACGGTTGCGAAAACAAAATCTTGCTCTTGCTACCGATAAAAAAAAAACAAGCTAATCATCACGTTCACGCGCGCGCGTGTCCGAGGAATCGATAAGATATAAGGACACTTACCCGCCACGAGATCGCCGAAACCGATGGTCGTGAGAGTGACGAAGGCGTAGTAGACCGCTTGATCGTAGGTCCATCTCTCGTAATGCGAGAACAGGATTGCCGGGAAGAAGATGAACACGATGAAGCCGGGCGTCAGGTACAGAAAGATCTGGGCGGCCAGTCTCATTGTCTTACGCGTCTCGGGCGGTATCGACTTCTTCTCGTAGGGATAATCGGTGGACGACTGACGTTGCTTGTAGGACTTGTACTTCTGATAGGCCCTGATGAACACGCGACTGAAAAATTCACCCAGCTGCGTCAGCAAAATCCCGTTCATCGGGATGCCTATGAGGCCGTAGAAGATCATCAAGATGCGGCTGAGGGTGTTTGTGGGTGCCAAATTGCCGTATCCTGAATAATTAAAAGTCAATTACTTATAGAAAGAGTAAAGAAAAGAATAATGAAGATTATAGATAGAATAAAGAAAGTTATTGATATAAGAAGAAATATTAATTCTTACTTCAAAGAAAAATCTTTCTGACAATATAATTCAAAATTTATTTTTCAAATAATATTTTCAAAATTATGTATAATAAACTTATAGCTGATAATTATGTAATTATCTCAAAGATCAAGATCAATTTAAAGAAAAAAAGGTTTAGATAAAACGGTAATTCGACACGAGTACTTATTCTCTAATTGAATCATCCAAAAGGTTTCGGAAATTTTCTTGGAACATCTATTAGATCTCTGTGTACTCGGGACAAATGCGTAAATAAAAGATCTTGTAATCCCGCATAATTGAAGGATATAGAGAATAACGCAAGAATGACGCAAGGCTATAATCCACTGACTTTAGATAAAAACTGATTCTAGACACGTTTTAGGAGATCTATTTTAACGCTGTTTTAACGCTTCAATAGATATCTACCGATAGTGCTGACGACCGTGTAAGCAAAATAAAAGCTGTTGTAGTAGTCCCATTGTAAGCGGTCGACTTCGCCCTCGCTGAAATTGTAAACGGACTTGCCGCAGTAGTCGGTGATCTTCTGCAGAATCTCAGTCTCGTTGTGTATATCGCTGGGTGTATAGTGGTCGTGGAGTAACTCTGAAAGGAATAATTACACGTGTATGTGTTCAAAAAAGCGAATTAACCATCGCCGGTGATCTTAAATTTTATCTCGCGCATCCGTCCGTTCACCGCGGGAGGAGGATAATCCCTCTCTTTCGCCATCCTTTCCGAACGCGGCCGTTTTCAAGACAATTGTGCCGTATATACGCACTATCTTATCAGCCGATATTTGTACGTCTTATATTGCCGGTTTGTGCAAGCAGAATCCGCCTGGACCTTCCGCGCAATTGCAACCGGAACGCGACCGTATTTCGCTGCGTATCGAGGCCGAGAGATACCAGGACGGCGCATCCTTGTAGAGGAAAAAAAAAAATTAATAATCGCATTATAGTTCTCCACGTGTACTCTTGTTCGTCGTGATGGAGCACAGCCACCTGAGGTAGGAGACAATAGGCACGAGGGCGGATATCGTCGCTTTCGATTCGAACGCGATGATTTTGAGTGACAGGAGTGGCCGAGATAATAATTTCGTAATCGATTTCGATGACACTGACACTGGCCGTCGACTAACGACGAGTCTCTTTCCGTCGCACGACATTGTCCTGTTGGACACTGGCTATACTCGAATAATGCCCTTTTTTCACGTAAACAATTGCATCGGGCACGGTCATGCATACAAATTCCAATGACGCCGACCGGTCGCGCCGGACTTTCCGGCTATTTGCGAGGCTACTGTTGTTACAAAAGATCCGACGTATTTTTGCAGAGCCGCTCGTGCAAATTCAGAGTTCCGAGAAGCTTTTGAAGGATCGGAAAGCTCAGTGTCTAAGAGCTTAAATCGCATCCAAAGGAGTAAAAATCCAAACTCGTACAAACTCTAAAGCTCTCAATTCCGGCATCTAGAAAATTTGAGACGTTAAATGAAAATTTCTTGAGACCTCTAAATTAAGATTTTAATGTCTCCGATAAGCAAGTTTTAGAGAAATTAACAACATTAACGCAACAAAATCCTTTGTCTGCATTTATTATAATCGAATTAACAATTTAAAAAGCGGCCGTGTCGGTGCAATCTCAGTCGATGACATAACTGTTTTAGAATGCTAGAGGCACAAGGTATCTCATTACTAAATGCATGTCGGAAGTTTTAAAGTTTTACACGCCAGACTCGTCCTCTGCACGACCGTGGCCTAAGCATTATTTGCATTATTATCCTCGAAATCTCGAAGTCGCGAGCGACGTAGTAATAATCGGCTGATTAATTACGAACACGTGAGACGGACACGATAGCGACGTGCGTGTTAAGATCATATTTCCCTAATTATTTATTTAGAGACGTTAAACTTTAATCTCCGTGATAACGAAATCTTGAGAGTGCTTTTCCGCGCTTATCGAAACGAAAAACGTCACTAGATATTGAAGATACGAATTGACATCAATATTGAGATTCCCAGGAACATTGGGTTTTAAACGATTTTTATTAAAGTACTTTCGACGTAAGCGAAGATTTATCATTTAATATTATTATTAAATTGTAACGTCAAAAAAGCCATAACTCCTACTAATTTTTTTTCAGGATTAGTTTATAAAATAAGTTCTTCGTCTCGAGGATTTTTTTGCGTGTTGTGATTGCAACAAACGAAGATATGCAGATAGCCCAATGTCGCGTTGCAACTACGAATTGCAAATGACATGCAAGTCCGTGCGTGTTTTCTTCATTCCGTTTGCATATAGCTTTCTCCTTGATACTCTCCGAAGCTCGTCAATTAAAACTTCCAGAAATCAGGACTGTTTTGCTATTTTTATATCAACTATTAAACGTATTCAATTAAATAGAAATTAATAATTATAGATAAATACGTAAAGTGCACGCAAAATGATTTCCATAAATCTAGATCTTTCCTTAGTGAAAAGATAGCGTTTGTCGCTAGTCGCTATTAAACTTTGGACATTAAATATTTCTGTAAATCATCATCAATATTAAAATATTCCTCAATGCGTTTTCATTATGGAGAAATCAGTCAAAGAATTTATTAATATATCTAAGAATAATCGAAGTAATTGCATCAAGTATCCAAAGAGAAAGGTGTTGCGAAAAGGCCGATTTTTATTTTGCTCGCGTAAAATTGACATCACTATAAGAAACGACAATTTTACTTTGCGCGAGCAAAGTGAAGACCGGCCTTTTCGTAACATCCTTCTCTCGAATTCTCGTTAACGAAAACTGACTTAGCGGACCGCGCGATCTTCACGCGAGATAGCCGATACCGGCGATTATATTGTCTGTCATTATTTTCTTACGGTTGATCATACGGCGTTCTACCCTTTCCTTCGCGATCTTCTCGTTCTCGTAGGGACTCTCGATGAAGTAGAAGATGGTAGCGCCTAGCGTCAAGTACGTGAGGAACAACAACAGCAGGGCGAACCATTGCTTCTTGGACATTCTCGGACACTATCGGCGAGATATGCTGGAGGTCTGGCGGATCTGACGTGAACCAGACGAGAGGGATGACGGTTTCCCCGCGTCAGATAATCAAGCGGTCCCCCGTTGAAATGGCGAACGTGCCGCGGACGCGCATCCTCGACATGGTTCCCCGGTGGTGAAGCTAAACTGGCCGACCGGTGGTGAGCTTCCTGGCTCGCTCGCCACAAGCGCACTAACTCTTCCCCGCGAAGAGCGGCTACCTTTTACAGCGGCTTCTTAGGCGGCGATTCGATTGTCGTCGTATCGATTATGACGACAGCTCTCACGAGGGCGATGTTATCACCGCGGCACCCGATATCTCCGATCCATCAGAAGTCTTCCCGACGATCTAGGCGCTGCGTCGCCATCGCGGTTGCGTGATCTCGCTGCTAGGTGCCCGGGAAACTCTACGGCCAAAAAGAGATCTTATATACAATGTATCTACGATGCAACGCGAGTAACGGTAATCGAGGCGTGTCGATGCAGGCATTTTTGCGAAATTTGAGATTGCCGTAATATTTAATTTAATTTAAGCCAAGTGCCAATATAAATTACGTGTTGCGATATAATTGATGAGTTGAAACGTCGGAAAAGGATATATAGATATCGAAAAACCGATAATGTCTTTTTCACCCTCTGGCGACGACACCGCTGTATCAAAATTTCCTGAGATTATCTGATTGATTAGGACTCCAGTTGTATACACGGCCAACAATTCGGCGGTCTGAAAAACTCGCAATTACCCGAAGGTGAAATCTATCTGTGGCGCACCTTCGCACGTCGAGCTGTACCAAAACCCTTCCCTCGACAATGCCGATTGCACAATACGTTCGGTCCCCGCCGGTGAACACCATATATCCTACCGGTCTGCCGGATCGCGGACAGCCTGCAGCAGCGATCCCCGTGTATCGCTAATAGCGATCGATTTTTTTGCATTCGCGAGGATAATTTACGGCGTGAAACAACGTACGCCGCGCGTGTCTCTCTCAAGTTCACGCCTCGCGCCTCCGGTCGCATGACTCGTCGCCGGTTCGAGCGCATGGCGTGGAAATTTGCATAAGTGCATATCACACAAGCTCGGTAATGGCACAAAGTATTTCAGAATCGGCGGAAAGTCATATGAGGTCATGTGAAAGACCTCGTGTCGCTCATTGTGAGAACAGTTGCTACTTATCAAAAAACGAATTAAATTAAATGAAAAAAAAAACGAGTCGCAATCAAATGCCGATATTTGAAATTTTAGCTCAAAGAGTTCAATTAAAAGTAAATAAATTATTATTATGTAGCGAATTTATTTCAAGGAGAGTCGCATATTCCATATCGCCTCGCAAAGTCAAGAATTGACATGCAAAACGCATTATCGCGTAACACAGTAAAATAGAAAATGGCGACAGTCGAACGACATCGGAAGACAGATGCGTTCGATTCGTCTTGATCCTCTTATTGCGTTATTGCATATCCATAAATATGATTTATAAGGCGCGAGAAACGCCTCGGCCGCAACACACTTGACGTGTCGGTCTCTGTTTGCTAATAACGCCGATGTGGACACTGTTCGTTTATACTGGCCCGAGAAAATTTGCAAATTTGTTGCAAGCAGAGACTCCTCGTAACGAGAGAAATATCGAGTTTCGAGCAGAGAGAGAGAGAGAGAGAGCTCTCGTCTGCCGAATTTAGTCTCGAGCGTTCACGAAGAAATATATATATTAAAAGATGAGCGGATTTTGTGTCCTCGAAGAGTTAGAAGAATTACATTTTAACGGACCTATTCGCTCGTATTTCTTCACTCCGTCTGAGAATTCCGTCACTAGACCTCTCCTATCTTCCACGCGCGCGACGAAGTCAACGCGTCACATATCGCGAACCTTCGGTGACGTTAACTGTCGCACATTACGCCGCTATCGATGATTGCCTCTAATTGACGAGATAAATTTGAGAACGCGTTTCGTGCACGGACATTTCCTTTATTCGCGAAACGGCACCCAGAATGGCAACCAGTTTATCGTCTCTTATTCTTTCCTCAAGTTCGCTAATCTTACTTCTTCGTATATCTAGCTGAAACGAGAAGTATGATTCATTATAAAATGCAGTTATAACTAGCAGAATGTCGGACTATTCGAAGCAATTTGTTGCTTTTAGTTTGATAATTTTTTTTTCATAAATACATTTAATAACATTTAATAAAATAATGTTATATCTGAAAAATAGAATAGTGCAGGTCCGAAAAGCGACAGATATGAAGACATTATCGCGCGCTTTCGAGACGAACTGATAATACTTAAATACTTTCATTCATATAGATTGAAACTTCATGTACATTTTAATTTTTAAAGATCAATATCGTTGCAACAGATTGTTTCATAATGTAGGCCCGATGATTTTTGAATGATTGCATTTGATAGGCTTAATTTTAATTTACGGAAACTCGCTTACGATAACACGAATACAACAAAATCGTGATCTTGGGCCTGTACAACCTGTACTCTTTAGATAAAGAAATCAAAGGCGTTACTATGTTTGGTAACGTAACTGCTATTGTTTCAAATTTAGAAATTCGGTAATAGTTGTGAATCTCACGCAGAAACCTGTAACTTAGAAACACAATGACGCACTTTAATGTAAGCAGGTTGAAATGATTAGTTGAATGACGTTTTACGACGGCATTTTAAGTCGAATAATTTTATGGCTGTTAACGGCCACTTAACAACTGTTATTATCTTCCATTTACTGCACACGTCGTGTCGGTCACGGCTGCGGTTAAAATATGCCGATACTAACGCACGTGCGGTAATTAGTTAACAATTAATGTGTAAAACAGTTTGTCGGGAAGAAATATAAAGTATTAATCACGTGTCTCATACTAGTCGATCAACTTCACACGATCAAATAAACTCTAATAACTGCATTATCTTAAAAAAAAAACGTTGAACGCAACAGTATTTCGTGGAATTGAGCTTGATTATATTACGTTATTAGAACGATAGTTCTGTTACTAGTACTGCTACAGTTTAATATTATTACTTTACAAAATATTAATATTTGATTAAATTTTTAATTATCCTCTCAAAATTAGAAAATTTTTATAATTAAAGGTAACGAAATCCAATTTAAATCATTCTATACTAAAAAGAAGAAAAAAGAAGAATTCCTAAAAGAGAATCACTAATGGTATACAGTTTCTTAAAAGTGGACCTCGTGACTTGCTTAAATAATGCTTGATATCTAAAATAACATTCGTTTCCTTACCGCCAGATGCAATGTTACAAAGTCGATGTATTTTTCAATAAATCATACTATTTTTGCATATTAATTAAAGTGAACATATGTCCGTCATTAATCATTAAAATCGATCGAAAAATATTCGCCGGAAAATTCCGCGAGGCAATGTTACGTAGTAGTAATAATCGTAATTATGTAGTGGTAATCGAATTACATGAGATACACGTGAGATTGTAATTACTGAATAGTAGAACTGATAGTACATTGATTGACAGTTTCATCTCAGTGATAACGTTCAGATTGACATCGATACGTTATCAAATATTTTTCTCACATTTCTTGAATTTTCCATTAATCGCTACTGCGATACTCAGTCTATCTGCACTTAATAATTTTTAAATATACTTGTTTACTTTCCACTTTAAATATTTTTCTCGCGAAAGACGTCTCGAGTCTGTATGAAAACTGCTAATGCGGCAAAGATGGCATTATTAATATTTTAATTCAATTCATTTTTATGTAAATTTTTATACAGATGTACTTTAAATGTAGTAATGTAATAATCAAGAAATTCTCTTTGAGTGATATTAATGCAATATTAATATTTATAAATCAAGTTTATAAATTCAAGGACAACCAAAGTTCTATAATAACTTCTTGATATGTCAAATATCAATTCTCAAAATTCGATAATATAAAAATTAAATGAGCCTTCATACATTAAATATCAAAGTTATATAATAACCAGAGTAAATTATACAGAAGATAAAGAGACAATTTAATTAGAATATATTTAATAAATATGTATAAGTTTTATCTCGAAATAAAATATTTTTTATTCTAATTCGTTATTAGCAATTTTCACATACAAACAAACGTTGACGTTTAACGTTTCACGTGAAACATCAACGTTTCATATTAAACGTCAACAATGGTTAATCCCAAGATATTACTGCTCTTTTATCTTTATCGTCTTATTTAATCGCTTAATACCCACCTGTCTCATTGTCTCGTTGCATACTGCTCGTCGCACATATCTGCGTTAAGCCGACGATCCACATTTTATAATAACGTTCATGTCCACAATCGCGAAACTTTGAATCATGTTCGGACGATAGAATTAATTCTATTGACAGAAATTGACAATTTCGTTGTTATAAAAAGTCTAAACGTTATCTGCCGGATTAACGGATCAGCGCGGTCGAGTACTTGGTCGAATGGAGACTATCCGTAATCGAGAGCGGCACTATGCGAAAGATCGTCCGGATGGTGGGAGGACCGAAAACGAGTTCTAGTGCTCATCAAAATGATCTTCTTAAACGGTATGCTAAGTACTGCAAAAATACAACGAAATAGAGAAAATGTTTTCAATGTATAATTCAAGAAATTAATTCAATATATATCTGATGAGAGAGATTACATCATCGACTGATCATTAAAGATCGAAGAATATAAAAAAAGGCTAGAAATTAGGATAAAGAAAATCGTCCTTTCAATTCGTTTTTAACACAAGGCCAGCCGTTTCGATCGCGGCATGTATATAACTGTATTATCTGCTACATTTCACGTCTCGTACTTAGCTGTGTTAATACGTCTGTTTAATCAGCGACCGAACGCTAATAGCAGTTCCTTTTTTAGCCATGAGATTTCGATAGGAGAAAATTGTTTAATTTATTCGAAAGGTGAAATCATTTATTTCAATAATTTCCGAAAGATTAATTTAGATTATTAATTTTCTAAGCCTTTGTTATACTTCTCGTAGTTTTTTACAGGTCAAATAATGCACCTTTCATTTTCACCAGGTTCACTTAAACCTTACACAAATATATTTCATGATAAATTTACGAAAAAAACAATTTAATTCTTCGAAAAAATGAAGGTACAAAACATAATACATATATATATATATTTTTCGACCTTCTTGAAACACTTGTATACGATATAAATGTTATTATCCATCTATCGTTATAAAGTATGTCATCACATATTGTAGTTTAGTTTCTATGTTCCTATATTATCTCACAATAATCTAGTATTAATCACAACGAAATTTCTCGTTCGTCAGACTCGCTTTATATGTACATATTTTACACACACTACATTCAATTGTGCTGCTATTCATACTGTCTTACGTAATAAAAAAAATAAGTTTGTTGCAATTTAAATTATAATTTAACTATAAAATTTGCAAGACTACATGCTAATTTTATAGTTAAATGAACAGTATATATTTTCTTTTTTTTATTTTAAAAAAATAATTCGACAGCGCAACAAAAATAAAATAATCATGATATCTCTGATAAGCAAAATGTTAACAATATGCCAGCAAATTCGAACAGGATATTGAGGTAAATTGACATCAACTGCATAGTAAGCTCGTGTTTTGCCAACAGATGCAAATCTGACCTGCTGCAAATTGACGCAATTTGACAGCAAATTATTGCAAGAAAAAAAATGATAGAAGCATTTTATAAACTTAAATGGGATATATCATTAAAATAATTATAAAGTAACAATTGATTCCTTAACCACTTTGCCATTATATTCTGTTATATTTCTGCTGGCATTTTAATAAAAAATTTCAATAAAACGTGCCGCGGACACTTCGCAAAATCGATGTTTTCAATAGATTTGACCATCTAAAAACTGTACGAAAAAAGAATTAAACAATGATTATTTGCATGTATCGTAAAATATTAAAATGCTTCGAAGTCAATTTTAACATGAAATAAAACTACACGATATAATTTACAATTACAATTGTTAATGAGACTATAGCTTTTCGAGAAAGATAGAGCTGCTCTTCTAATATAAAACTAAATATAAAATGTTATAATAAAGCTGAGTCAATATATTTTGATTATTTTAAGCAAATAATAAAAAAGAATTATTAGAAAAAAACATAAGTAACTCAGCTAGTCATTTTGGATAAAAAAAAGATTTAAATTATTACAAAAAATATATTACATACACGCTCGATAACTATAGATGGACAAAATATAATATAGCACATATATTTTTTTCGCATTCGCACTTTCATGTAAGGCACTGCCTTTAGTTCAAGAACATAATCAGATTGTGTAAATATGGATCTCTTTTTTTTGCATTTTTGTAAATCTTATCTTATGTTCGGAATATGAACCAATAATCAAATAATTTCACTGAAATCATTTCGACGCGAAAATGGGAAGTTCTTCTCATCTTCTTAAGATCTCTGCGTGAGCGACGCGATAACAGCTGCGAGTTGAGACTTAAGTTTTTTATCAGTTTCAAAAATTCATCAGATAGAAATTTATAATAGCGCATCAATCTTTTTTTTTGTAATAATGAGACCGATGATTGATGTACGACAGTTTCAATGACATGGTCATTGACGTAAAGTGATTGGCGCGACAGATTAAATGTCTGATGCGATAGATATGCTAAGATGTACTAAACAGGATCTTGAGATGCGGAGATGAATTTTGAAGAAAAAAGTTTATAACTTAAGATAATATTTACATAGACTAGAATATCCGGTAAACCTTCTACCACAGTTTTCTATGGAACAGGCATAAAAATTATTTATGCGCTATTATATATTTCTATCCGATAAATTTATGAAACTGGCAAAAAACTTAAGTCTCAACTCGCAGCTGTTATCGCGCCGCTTCCGCCGTCAAACATCGTTTGACACTACTTTTTAATTTTCATTTCCTTGTTTGATTTCGCTCTGATATTAAAAGTACACCCATAAATAAATATTAACAAAATTATTAACGTTCAATGCTTAAGACTTTTCTCACGCATACAGAGTCCATCCACGTACGTCACGTTTCTTTCCCCTTGCGTTAGTTCCATCCAAATTCTATGTCCTCAATTTTTATGTTCAATCCCTCGAACGTTGTATCGATGCCGGGATCATCGAAATTTTCGTCCAGGTCGATCTTCTGCATTTGAAAGTTCGGATAAAGGAATTTTAGAAACATCATTTTTTCCGATAATTAATCTAGAGTTAATTTATTACAAGAATATACATATATTTCTATGCAAACCTGTAATGCAGCGATTTGCGAAGGATCGCCTACGAACAAAATTTGTGGTTCCTTCTCGTTCGTGTCGTCGATCATTTTAGAAATTTGGATCTGCTTATCTTTCGCTAGCAGCTTATGCTAAATTAAAATTAATTAAGATCAATTAGTTACATAGTCACATCGGGACTTGCACGGAGCGTTATAATTAATAAATTAGATTTTACATGCAGCAGGTTATACTTACGGTTTCTTTCACGGCTTTCTTTTTATTTTTATTCTGACTAGAGGGTTCAAGAGAATCTTGCAGAAACGCATCGGCACCGTCGTCACTGTCGACCAAGGCATGAACTGTTCTCTTGTGCATCACCAGCGTGCTACTCTGACGATATTTCCTGGAGCATAATGTGCATTCGAACGGTCGTTGTGGTGCATGTACCTATAAAGACAAAAAACAAACTAGAGATAACAATCTGACACAAACGTGTTTGACTACGGTACTGTATAGTACTTTTAATAGCAGACTGATTAATAATTGATATAAAATGCTTACAAGATGATGCTTATATAGACTAGAATATTCGGTAAACCTTCTACCGCAGTTCTCTATGGAACAAACGTAGGGCTTTTCGCCCGAATGTATGCGTATGTGATTCTTGTAGTTTGTCGCACTGGCGAACGCTTTGCCACACATCGGCTGTGTGCATTTGTACGGTCGCTCGCCGGTGTGCGTCCTTACGTGAACCTGATAAACACGAAGCCTTTACTGAATTTCGGCATTAAACATTTCCCTTCAGACATCGAGAAAATCCCACTTGCACTTCCGTACCTTTCTTATATTACTCGTGGTGAACGATCGGCCGCAACCGTTAAACGGGCATACGAAGGGACGCTCTCCCGTGTGAGTTCTCACGTGCTTCAACAGATCGCCCGACGTCTTGAAACTCTTGTTGCACGTTCCGTTCGTGCATTTGTACGGTTTCTCGCCCGTGTGCGTTCGTAAATGCGCTTTCAGACTGTAGCCAGTTGAAAAGCTCTTCTTACACTTTGGATGAGTACATCTGTACGGTCGTTGGCCGGTATGTGAACGCTCGTGGACCTACAAAGAAAAGATTAAAAATGCCGCATTTAGTAACGATGCTGTTTGACTAAAAATTTGAATGAAATTTTTCAATTATTTCAAGTTTCTTTATTCGTACTGATCTCGAAGAATTTATTACCTTCAGATGATGAGGCGTGCTGTAAACCTTCGAACAGCCCTCTCTGGGACAAGGGTACCTCACTTTTGCGTCGGATAACTTGTTGATTAAGATCTTGGGGTCTTTTTTCTTCAGCTTTCCATCTTCAATTTCCCATAAATTCTCGTCTACGTCCACATGGCCGGCCACCATGTACGCAGTGCCGTTGATAAATTCGACTTGCGAGTACGTATTTTCTACATTTTCGGTGGCAGGGTCTTCAGTTTGTACAAATGTAGCTGGATCTAATTCCAACTGGAGAGCCTTGCCATCGCCAAATTCCGACAAATCTCGCAGCAAAATAGTATCGCCGTTTTCGAGCGTCGTTTGCAGCGTTTGGGTCTTGAAATCTGGATCTGTGAATGTACAAGCTCATTTTACACTTTAGATATTCAATAGATATGCCACGAACAAATGACACAAACGAAGCAGCTACGAACAGCTGTACATTTTCATTCAAATGCAAAGTATTTTCAAAGAAAAAGTTAGAAATAGAAATTAACAGAAATTCTCTTTTGTATTAATTGATATAATATTCTGGAGTCAAATTCACACAAATGGCTACTAACCAATGTCACTGAGATTATTCGTAACAAAAGCTTGACTCCCATCAGGTAACGTAATCGTAGTCACCATCGTGCCAAGCAACTGGTCGTCTAATATAAGCTGCTGTACTTGACTCGCGTCCTTCCCGGTGCCGTCGTTGATCATAACCGACAAGCACTCCAGAATATCTACAGGATTATTCTGAAATCAAGTCGTACATGTGTGTTGAACGCAGGTATCGAAACAGGTTAGAGACGGAAAAGGTAAATAAACAATCGTCGAATAAGTAAAGTGAGAAGAATTACGTCCAACTTGTGAATTATCTCACAGTGCAAAATTAATTATTCACTACTGTTAAATCGCTAGTTTACTAATAGACGATACGATCCTGCGTGTGATGATTCAAATAAAATGTTCCACATGGTATTATTTGGTATTATTATCTATCTTTCCATGTAGGTACCTCAGACTCTTGCAAGATCACCTCCTCCTCCTCCTCCTCCTCCTCGTCCTGATTCGCGGTGCAGTTTGGAGAGTCCGCACTTTGCGCCGACATAATCCCTCACGGCTGTGGCCCAGCTGCGAACAGAGAACATTTCTTGCTGACAGATACCGGGCAAGCGGACATCGTCTCGCCCGCGAGATTTCGTTTTCCCCCTTCGAGGAGCGCGCACGTCGAGAGCGGCGAGGTCGAGGCCTATATATATATGATACCTTTACCGCGCGAATCGTAATCAGACGAGCGGCCCTCAACCATTCCTCCCGATAAGCGGTGCAGTGATAACGCGACCGACCGGCTTGGCGACGGTCAACAGTCCGTTGCCACCGGCGTGACGCCGAGACGCGGCGCGGCGGCATCGCTCTCCCTGGACACGCGTCGTGGACGGGGAGCGACGCCGAGCCGCGTCCCGCCATCCTCGTGCACGGTCGTCCCGTCGAGAGGAGATACGTTCCGAGGCGGCGGAGACGAGGACTCCACCGACGTTGCGACCGTGGGACGACGACGCGACTCCATGCCACATGACATAACATACCATAACATGGCATGACATGACATGACGCGACGCGACTCGCTCGCTCGTCCGCACGCGGTGAATGAATTGAATTTTCGCCGGTCCCCCGTATACGCCAAGTACGCCACACAAAGAATCTTGGGAAATATTACCCATAAACTCGGCCGCCCGCGAAATCCTCTCGCGACTAGCGCGCGACGGACCGGAACTCCGGCGACGGCTATCTACGCCATGGCGGCGTAAACGCGCCCCGATTCGAACGTTTGAACGCACGCGGACGAGGCCGCCGATCCGGTCCTTGACTGTCTTTTTAAAAGACGACCGACAGCGAAATGAGGAGTTAGAGGAGTTAAAGATTCACGATCACATTTTAAATACAATCTTGATAAGCTGCGATCGTTTCTTTGGCTGGCTAAAATCTTAATACTATAATTAAAATCAAATTTTTTAATATTAAATCGGATTAAGAATTATCATCCTGTAAGATCAACCAACCAACTATAAATCATCAAAAAACTTGGTGGAAATGATACCCTCGTTGATACCTCGTTTTACAGTATATAATCCCGTACATAAACAATTAGCATCTATAAATTAACGTCATTAATTACAATTGTTAATTACAATTGAGTCGCATCCGCGCGGAAGTCGGATATGCAACGTGCAGTGATAGTATCACGATAAGCGTGACATGCTCTAATTCGTTTAGGAAATACGCAACGTTTGCTTTTTTCGGCGATCTTTAACTCGCTTCCCGTTTCGCGTCGTATAAAACCTATTTAAGACGCTAATTACAATTGCAAGGGCTTAATTGATTTCAACCAAACTTCGATTAATTTAATTATCGGAAATAAACCATGAAATAAAACCAAATTTCTAATTATATAATTTCTTTTGATCTTAATCTGATCTTTTTTCCCATATATTACAAGAATAATTATTTTACTCACGTTATCAGGATTACTTGATAATTTAATCGATTAAGTAAACTGAGATTCGATTTTATTTCTATCAATCTAAGTTAATTTTCACGAGTTTAACTTATTCTTTATCTTTTCCTGATTTTTAGAACTCGAAAATAAGTTATCGAGATTAAAGTTAATCTACGTACATTAGTAGAAAATAAACATAAGTCATCTTAAATGTTGTTCAAACGCGAAGTGGGAATAAGCCAAGTAATTTGCAGGCGGGAGAGAAGCGAGTGTAGTTCATCTAATTTATATTAATTATAAATTATATTGTTACGCGTTCGTTACAATTCTTTGTCTGCAATTGCAAGCACATGTAGCTTCTCGCTTAGAAAGTTTGAGAACGTCCTTTCCTGAAAGATTACATTCCGCTTATATGGGTTTATCGACAGACCCGCACTTCTCTCCTCCCCATCGATCCGACCGATTCGATCCGTCGGTTCGACCGCGGTACTCGTGACCGCGGGGACGAAAAATGCGGCGCGTTCGCGGACGACCGTCCGTTTCGCAAGCAAGCTAATTCGATTCGCGAGCCGCGCGATCCCGAGGCGAGATGAAAGTACCACGACGGTGGTGATCCCCCTGCGAGAGTTAGAGTCCTTATTACCTCGGGAACCTCCGCGGTGCCTCGAGTCACACGCAGGTGGGGTATACACACGTGCATGCGGTGTGTCGCGGGTGGCGAGAAGGGGGATGCTGTGAAATTCATGCACGCGCCGGCGGCCGCCGACGTTCTCCGCACGACCTGGATCAGTTCCTATTTTACCGCATCCGCACGAGGCGTCTCGCGAAAATCTCCGGCTGGATCCTACAGAGTCCCCGCGAGTCTGCTTTAAGAGGGTACCTTCTCGGCGCCGCGGCGACGATTCGATCCGGGCGTGCGGGTGTGCGCCGTGCTCGTCTCATCGGGATCCTCCTCGGGATCGGTGCTCGACGATCGATCGCGCGACGATGACGACGGTGGGTGGAATGACGAGAGAATGACGATCCTGTGCGTCCTCTCGCGGAATTCCTTAATCGCTCATCCGGTGGCTGCAGCCATCGGCGTTTGATCTGTAAACGTTAAATAATTTTAATCTCTTTGTCCAAGCGCCAGGATGTCGAGTGCATCATAAAAAGATTACGCGACGAACGATCTCACGATTCGATTAATTGACAGCCAACTTCACGGGGAACGTCAAAGTGTCCCCTTCGCGCCAAAACATTTACAACATATTTACAAATCACAGAATTTTTTAAAGCCAAGATATTTAGAAAACAGATATATTTAGATGTGAAATTTGTATTTTGATTTTTAATCGGATATTGTAATTTGAAATTTCAGAGAAGCATTATTAGAAGTGAAATATGATGGATACAATTTTTATAAAGATCTAATTTGAAAAAAAATGCGATTAGTGTTTTGAATAATTTAATTTTCATAGTAATTTTCTATAATGTTGTATGCTATTTGAATTAATAAAATTCTCGACTTTCAAATAATTCGATGCAATCTTTAATACTTTACTCGTAAGAAGATGATTTGGTGATCGTAATCTATAAATCTAGAATCATAAACTTTAATACAAAAATATATTTATTTTGTAATTTAGAAAGATGCTGGCTTAAGCAACTTTTTTACTTTAATTTTTACTTCTTAAAGTAAGGAAAGAACATAAATTTAATAGCTTTTCACAACAGAGTTCCTTTGAACAAAAGAAACATGTCACATTGCGAAGTATATAATTTATGTTTCATCGCTTTTTGAGCCGCTATTGCAACTCGTATCGAGTATAATTAGTCCCACGCGATAAATTAGTTTATCTACAGATTTAATGTATCATTAGAAAGGCAGAAAACTGTAACCACGCGCATTATGCACGCACTTATAAATCCTAGTGTATATACGCGTGTGCGCGTGTATCAATGTAATTGCTTCATTGCATTGCCCGCTGTTACTTAATCAAATCGTGATGTATCACCAGAATGGGATCGCTCTCAGTTTACAGCAATACATATATTTTTTTTCTCATTCGCGCATGCTGTGTGTATGTGTGTTAATCCTCTTACTAATGAGGCTACACGTTGTGCAAAAGTAAATTAGGTCGCAAATTAATTATCTCCACTCGAGTTTGAAATGTTTTGTTCTCGATCCAAACATCTATAGACTATAAACTACTTTCAGATAACGTATGAAACATTCATAAACAGCGACATACGTATCAAAAGAAAATTATAAAATTATCTAAGATACTATAATTGTATGTATGACAAACCGATTCTTTTTTTTTTTACTTCGCAATAAGTAGTTTACTTTTGAGTAACGTCGCGTCTAAAATTTGTCGCCGTAATAACCGCGAGTTTTCCCTCTCGCGAGAGAGGTCTCACGTCTCCTTTCGAAACTCGAGCCTTTCGCGAATTCCATTGTCGGCGAGTAGCCGGATCCCCCTATCGATAATCTATCAGCGCAGAAATACTAGTTATGCACACGAGGTTTCCGCACTGCTGGGTCGCAAATGTCGGAATTCAATAGGCGGCCGAATGTAGTACTCCCGAGTGAAGGTGAGCGGAAAGGAAGGCGAAAGGGTGGGTTTTAACACGCACCGTGCCGAGAGTAAGTACGTGTTTGTCTCCGTATGAGCCTCCTCGTGGACTAAGCCCGGCGCCCGCGCGCACACATGCGCGTATTGTCGACGTTAGGCGTAGGCGCGCTTTATACCTCGCGACGGTGTAGGAGTACCGATGGTATGCGGAGATATAATGCAACTACTGTCGCGGTCGTGAAAAATATTGCCTTTCAAAGCGCAATGTTGCTGGCTCTCCGATTCCTAATGGGAAAAGTCTGTTTTGTATACTCCGTGTGTAGAGGAGGGCAGCGTTCCGCAAGCAGGTCGTCGAAGTGATGTAACGTGTTACGACGTTTACGTCAAGTTTATGTTATAATAAATTACTCTCCCGATGCCTCCAGAGAATCTAGAAGCAAGAATAATGAGTTAGAAATTGATAGGTACGAAATCGTGAAGGAGCAGTTAAAACGCACTCCTACAGAGCCTTCTTGTTATACGTGGGCAAGAGGCACTCTCGATATTTTACGACGAAGGATGAGAAATGTACATTGAGAAATAATAGATATCACAGATTAAAAATAACGATGTAATTCTTCATGAATAGATAGGATAGTATCTTTTATGTTTAAGAGATGCATAAAAAAAAATAACAAATGAAATATTGATGGATCAACATTATTGCCATTTTTATTTTTTTATTATGCTGTCGCACATAAAGCATTTTATTAGCGTGTAAGAACCGTTCTACAATACGTCATTCTACAATATGTTGGGTCGTAAACCGTAAGAATTGACGAATCACAGTCGAATGTAAGAAGAACATTTGATTCTGACTGGTCAGTTTTTACTGCTTACGGCTTACGACCCGACATATGACGTATTGTAGAATGGGCCTTAATAGTTGACGGTAAGAAACGTTGACTCCATAAAAAATGTTCCATAAAATATAAACTTTCTAAATCAATCATTTTATGTATAACAATCTAATTAGTCGTGATTTTTTTAATGATACTGACGACTGATACATTTCTTTGATATTCGCACATTGTTATGTATTAATACGATATCATTCACAGGTTTTATTTCGAAGATTGATCTCGTAGATTAACTTCGGATTCAGGGCAATATGATGTAATAATCTTCTCTTCCTACGTTATGCAATTATGAATTCTATATACATGCGTCTGTAGATATAAAACGATTTTTAGAAACGTACTCACCTTGACACGTATATTGCACGGTCCATTTTCTGCATGATTCATAAAAAAAGAGATTTATCTGCCGTCCACGTGTATATGGTGACATAGAAGCACTCGCTCCTAGCCGTTTCACGAAGAGTAAACACAACTCCTGGTCCTAAAGTTTCAAACAAATTTGGAGCCGGATTTTTCCTAGTGATGCAAAAAAAAAAGATAATATAATATTTTACAATTTAAAAAATACAAATAGTCGCGTGTTTTGCTAATTTCACAATTCGAAAATCGGTTAAAGTATTAATATTAAAAATCTATAAAATCAATCATAATTGATTATTGTTGCATTTTTTTATAATTATTTTATAACGAGTTAGATTTAATTTTTAAATAATAATTCGAATTTCGGTTTTATATCTCAAATTTAAGAGAAAGCCGTGTAGAACTGTGTAAGCGTGTAAAATCATGCAGTGGAGTTTTGTTGTTGCCGTTGGCTATTTTAGTTTTCTTTGCGGACAAATCTCTACGAAAGTATCGTATATGCGCATACGTCCGCGGGTAATATCTTGAAACCCGAGTGCGCAATATGATATAGCTCTTACCAAGAAAACTTTCTGCAAAAGCTATTCAGAGTGTATTGGGTTTCAGCAACCGTACATTGAATAGACTAATATATAATTTTTTTGAATCAGAACTCACGGGTACATGTAATATACTTCGTAACCCAGTTACAGACATATTGAGACATTCCGAGACCCAAATTTACCTTCTTACTCCAGTTCTTCTTTAACAAAGGCTCAAAATTCTTACTGGGGAGAAATCGAAGAATAATCGTAAAATGTGCTCTAGAATTTCTAAATCGTCTTCTTCTCACGTTTTTGCAATTGGTAAACAATCCGGCTCTCATGACAAGATACATCGTTAATTATAGAAGATAAATCGCTGTTTTAATTTCAGATAAGAGTGGTGTTGCTGCTTCTCACGGTGACTGTGGCCAGTTCCCTGCCGCTCGCCAATGTTCACGTGAAATTCGTGTCGCCTCCCGATGTGTACGAACACAGCGTTACAACAGACGGTTAGCTATATGCGATTGCGCGATATGCTTTAGATCGCACTAAACGAGCTGCTTGAATTTTGTCGCATTCGTTTTTAGGGGACCGAACGGTAGCCCAGAACTCGTTCATTTCGATCGGCCGGCGAAGGGCGGTGAAGCATTCTAAGGATAACGGTGACTTTTTTTTTATCTCTGAACTTGTACAATTATTTTAGTGTAATTAAAAAAAGTATTAATCGGTATTAATAAGATTATTAATACCGATTAATATCTTTTGAACGACATATCTTCAGCGAGAAAATTTATATCTGCGGTTTATTTTTAGATTATAATTATAGGACGAATTTACGGCAAAATCACTTACGGCAGATAACGAGTTCGCAAAACGCCGAATCCCTGTGGCCGGTCGGCGTTTTCCTGCCACCTATTGACGTCAATGATCTTGGATTTAGCTGGCAGGAGGTGCATCGCGACCTCCCCGATTTCTACAAATCGCAGCGTAAGTATCTCTTCTTTCTATTGTACTTTTACGGATTCTTTGAATAAAATGGCATTCTAATTTGTCCTCTTCTTTTGTATATTATCGCTTCTTTTTAATATAATTTTGATTCATTCTAATTGCAGAACGGGATCCATATTTATTGACCAATCGTGAAGCTATGATGGCAGTTAAATATCTCTACGGATTGGGTGAGCTTTTCTTCGACGATTATCCTCACGTAAGAGCGTTACTGCGAAATCAGGAAGAGAGGAGACGGAACGGTCTGCATGGACACGTTCTGGGCAGTCTGAATCCTAGGTCTCCCTTTCACAGGAAAGATAGGAAAGGACAACCAATCTAAGAGCGATTTACGTTCGATATTACTGGGCTCAAAAATTCGAACATAAGCTTAATTCTGCAGTATGTAATATCTTTTTATTACAATTCCAGAATTGTGTGACTTGTATACTGCAACAAAATGTAATAAGTTAGAAACTAACGTGTGTTTTCGCGGAGGGAACAGGAATGATATTTATTCAAGATTATTTCTATTTTAAACTACTAATTAATAATATATAAATTGTCCCACCAGTGCTGCGTTAACACTTAACGGATTTTTGTACATTTTTCTCAAATTGACTCCAAATTAACAAAATTAATTAATAAAATAAAACTAAAATGAAAAAAATATATATATCTGAAAATACATGTAATACTAAAACAAGCCTTACTTGTGATTATTTTTATGATATGCATTATGTAAACACATTATTTTACACATCCACAATACGCGTCCATCAGAGTGCTGATTCCTAATTTTCGCGTTTACTATAAACGATTCACAGGAAGTTTAATCACTCAATCCATCCATATACGACGAAGTATACATCCTCAAATAAGCCACCGTGTTAAGCATACAGCTATCGTTATTAAAAAACCACTGGCGACGGTCGTTCTTATTGTTCCGTTACAAAGATCCCCGTAACAGAGGCACATGTACACTTTCTTGTAATTCCACACGGTATAAGCGCATCTCTCCTCGTTGTCGTCAGGGCCTCGCTGGAAGCACAATCTTTGCGTGGCGGTACCATATTCTGTAACACAAAAAATTTATTAATTTTTTTTAAAGAGCTTCTTATAATAGAAAAATTGAGTTATATCAGTTTAGAAAGTCTTTTATTATTTGAATGAATAATGTTACTGATAATGTAATGTAATACATAAATATAATATTATTTATTATTATCTTCATACTTGCAAAATATATTTTTTTAGAGAACAATAGCAATTATGTTGCCGAATGTAAATTTTTTTGAAAGCGGAATAACTTACCGTTGTTTAAATTTTGGCTCTCGATGATTTTTCCGCACCATCCGGAAACGCACGGCACCGCGTCGATGCCTTTTTCGAGCGTGATTTGCGTAGAATTCATAGTGAAAGGATCCTTGCACGAGCCCAGGTCTCCTCTCGATCTGCAGCTTACGCATCTTCGAAGAATGCCTGTAATAATAGCGCGACGAATGGAACTGTCACTTTTACCTGCTATCGCTTGAGCATCATTTCACTCGCGCCGCATAGACGTCGAGCGATTAATGATATGCAGACCTTTCTCGCGATTTGTATTCTTACGAAAGCATTAAATAAAATAGTTATTTGTACAATATAATGCAAATATAGATTGTTCTTTAATAACAATTAATCTTTATTTAAAACTTAAAAATTCTGTGTATAATTCTATGTATAGAAATAAATATTCATGAATACTCCAGATTTATTATTAACAAAACAAAAATGAAATAATTAAAACTTATAAAGTTTCGAATTTTTCTTCGTTCGCAGTTTCACATTAATTATATATATTCAAAAAAGAAATTCTATAAAGAGAAAATCTATTAAATAGGTTTCTCAAGAGACTTTATTTGTTAAATATTATTTATTCGTTTATAATTTCAATGTTACCATTTTGTTAAAAAGATATCGTAAATACGACGAAAAATTAAAAATACAGATAAAATGAGAAAGTTCTTTGACTTGATAGAAACTCACCGACGCATTCCTGAATCGCGACCACGCAGAAAGTCGCGACGATCACTTGGACGCTTGTTCGAAGGTTCATCCTAATTCGTTTTAAATCTGGGTTCAGTCTTTTTGTGATTTAGAGCCTAGTTAATGAGCACCGTAGACGAGCCAGGAGCTATGATGGGACACAGCCATTTTGGAACTAAACTTAACTTGTCTGGAGACAGATACGTATACCTTGTAGCTGTCTCTACCAGTTCCCCCTTTCACTCGACTTTTTAAGGTCACAGCATTGCCGAAGAAGCTCGGATCGGGGGAACGCGAAGGAGATAGCCACGAGGTCTCACGAAGCGTTCTCGACCGATAACCGGTCGCACAATGCTTGGATGTCACAGAGTTCAGTCACAATGACATTAAAAGTACATAATCGCGCATAAAAATATGCAGTTAACGATGTTAGCGAACAATTTAAATAATTGAATATCCTGTTGGAAAATTTTTTAATTTTAATAAACACGTAAAAATCATTGTGTGAAAAAAATAATACATTATATACTTACAAGAGAATTAATAATTTAAGACAAAAGTTTGATCTAATCTAAGATCTAAGGTCGACAACGTGATGTAATTATTATTAATAATTTCCATAAAATGTCAGAATAACATTTAACACCGTGATTATTCAACTTCCTCTTCCGAGGGATCATCTTGCGGCAAGGGCTGAAATTTGTGTCTTTGTCGACAGGCTATTACTATACCCGCGCAATAGCAGAATGAAGTCAAGAAAATTGTAAAACCCAAGTAGCCCAAATGCCGAAAGAAAGCTGTAAAAAACGACATACACAAATTTGTACATTAAAATTTGGCTTACTTATGATGTTAATAATTTTACAATTAACCATTTAACAATAAAACTTTAATTAACATTTTATTTTTATTATTACATTTTATACTCTAATAATTTTTACTGTGCAAGTTTTAACTGACCTTGCGTCAAAAGCCGAGTCTTAGACACGACGATGATCTTCAGGCGCATCATATTAATGTTGTCCACGTAACAAGTATAGTTACCATGCTCCTCTTTGGATATGTCTGCCGAGCAAGAAATCGCGCAGTATTAAAATTTATTACGCGTAGAAAACATTATCCACAAAACTCTTTGTCAGGTTATTTGGATAAATAAACGAATATATTTCTACAATTGTGCTTGTATAAAATCTAATGTAATGTTACCTGTCAAATAGAGCGTTGAGAAAGGGTCTACCATCACTCGAGCTTCTTTATCTTTTCTACGAAGTGACTGAATCGTTCCCTTCTTCAAAGTGAGCGTGTCCTTTTTCCAAATTACTTGCGATGCTGTGCTCGATCTATAATCAAGACAGATCTCGTTCGTTTTCAATTTTTGTATTTAATTGTATTAAAAAATTGTACAAAATACGATACATTAGGCGCAGAGAGATTAATTGGACTTTATAAAAAAAAATACGCTCGAGAAAGAAATCTTTGGGCAAATTACTCCGGACAAGCTACGGCGAGATGAGCGCCTTCGGCGAGAACGTATCGTTTGACGTAGCGAAATTTTTCGCCCTTTCTCCTTTTCTTTACGCGCGGGCATTTCTTGCAAGGTTCTGTTAAAATAAATTCCGGCAAATATCGCACGACACGACTGACACTAGGAAATTCATTTTGAAGCAGGGCAGATCTGAGAAATGTACAACGTATTAAAAATTTGCTATGCTATTACGTGAAGAATTGCTACGTTAAAGATTCGCAATTATAAGCATTTACTTGCAAGGAAGCATCGGAGAGCCCCGAAAGAAGTGTATAATGATTGAATTATTTTTCTCTATCATAGTCTAAAATTGATATTAAAATGACACACTAATTATAATAATTAAAAGGATAATAAAAGAAAGATTATGTAACATCGTTAAAATTGAAAGTTTGATAATGAAAATATATATAATAAATATATATAAAATGCACAGCACTCGCCGAATTTATGTTGCGCTTTAATCTACAGTAGCCCCTGCTGATTTTAATACCGCGATTATCTACACATTGTTTGCATGAGCTCCAGGGACCCCATTCGGACACTACTTGAAGGATTACCCCTTCTTCACGAATCTCTGCTAAATCCGTCATTTTCGAGACCTGCCGGGAGATTCTTTTCTTTGATCACATTATTTAGAAAAATTGAAATGTGAAAAAACGATTAGGTAATAATCTATTTTATTCTGTTTAAAAATAATTAAAAAACAGAACAAAGTATATCGTAATGTAACTTATAATCAAGAGTTCGTTAACTCACTGCAAATCTCGTAGTGACAGGCCATAAATATGTTTCACGATACTTTTCCCACTCAGTTATGTTTCCCTTTTCTACAAACTCGCCGCCAATATTCTTAAGAATTGCTGTCGCGCATAAAAATGAATATTAATTTTGATACTCATACTCAATACTTGTCAGAGCAAATCTCTGGCAACAAATTTATTCTTTACGTTCAATCCTGTAATTATATTTATTTTCCTTCTCTTGACCTTCTTTGCCGTGGCATCGATAAATGCCGGTGTCGATGACTGTGAAGCTTTTTACAACCAGAGAGAGATCCGGGGTTGTATATATTCTACTGTATGAAACGTTATTATCCATTCCCAATTCAACTTCCTTTTCCGCTTGTTCTCGATAACGATCTTGATAATACCAAATTTTTGGCTGGTCCTCCTCGTGCTCGTTGCTTCTGTGAAAATTTGACCTCTGTGAATTTAGCATCTGCACCAAGAAAAAAATTCGACTCTATACTGTAATTGAGTGCTAATTTATTACTGTAGTCGCGAATTTATTGCTTCTATCTATATTCGGAGGAAATTAATAAGTAAAGGTGTTGACTTTGCATTATGCTATATAGTAATCCCACTCTCAAAAAATATATACAATTAAATATTGTAAAGAAAAAAATTACATCAAAATTTTTTGCTACTTAATTTTTTGCTCTAACAATAAAATACTGCAAAAAAACATTGAAAATTTCGAATAATTGTATTTTACATTTGTTATATGACTTATATGTACAATGTACATTAGCACTGCAACTCTCTTGGTGGCATCTTAACCAAGAATTAATCGTGTCACAATTAGGTTAATTAAAGAAAGCTGTTTCATTTAGGGCGACTAAACTTCATTAATTTAATGAATAATCAATTAATTCGATCAACAGAAGCTTAAATCAAAATTTCGTAACTATAAAATTCATTGTTCCTTGTCATTTGATTTTTTCCCACATAAATATTACTTGACAAATTAACCATTGATTAAATTAATGAGAATTTGATAGGAAAACAGTGCAGTGCGTTATAACCTTGCGAGAAGATTGAAGGCGCTATAATCCACCAGCTGGTGGAGTAAAAAGGGGGGAAAAAAATAATGAAAATTTGAGAAATCTAAAGAGTTTCGAAGTAGCTTTTTGTTTTACTCGAGTAAACAAGAAAGCTGCTTATCTGCGGATTGTAGACATTATTTTATTAATTCTAATATTTGGATAATCCTTACCAAAAGCGACAGGCTAGCATGATATTCGTATTATTCTCGGCGCCGACGAGCAAATACTCGTCGTTCTCCTCGGACGTGATTAACCTGTCTCTGTCTCTGCAGTACCTGTTAACGTTTACAAGCGTACCGTCGGTAGCCACGCAGTTTTCTCCGCTTGTTAAAGACGCAATAATAATCCAAACGACGTACATAATTGTCGTGAAAAATTCAGGGAAATTAAAGTACAAACGAGGAAGGAGCGTCGCACCGCTGTCTCCGACGTCACCCAGTCACGAACGTGCCGCTTGAAGTGAGCGGCGATGAACTACGCGTGTCAACACTGTCAAGAGGTTTGTTCTCTTGCACCTACACTACACCTTATGTCTCTCCTTCTTCTCTCTCCAACGTCCAATTATATATCTGCACTGTGTACCTACTTCATTTAATAAAGTGCAGAACGAGTACCTCGCAACTTCTTGTCCCTTTCATATTTTGCATCTATTATTTATTTTTAAACTTTTCTTTTCAATGTCTAATTAATTTTATTTTAATCGCAAAAAGAGAAATAACCGTGTGATGCAGCTGCAAAGGAAATTAAGGTCAATCTATTTTCGCGTCTACCCGTGCAATTATGAATTATTTCGAAAAAAAATTCGAATTTCGAAAAGTTAGTGTAATTATTCGTTGTATATCGCCACTGACTCAAGTACATAATTAATTCTCCACGTCTCGAGTGGCGGCAACAACACGGCGCGCGGGAGCGGCCGCGATTTTCGGCGTTACACCTTACCGACCCCCCCGCGCACGCCGGGGCGTCCGCGGCACGACTTCCGGGACGGCGCCAATCGCCAACCCGGCCCGGCCACGCGAGATGGCGGAACCGACGAACCCGACGAAGTCGGAAGTACGTACCCATGATGCATCACTGACTGTCAACATGGCGGACGTGATTGAAAGTGAGTCAAACTTTGCGTTTATTTTCGAGGAAATTAACGGGACGGGCGTTAGCGGGCGGCCGCGGGGACCGGCCGCCGCGGAATCCGCGTTCTCGGTTCGGCGGTCCGACGGGCCGCGCCGCGGCCGACGCGCCCGCGCCGGCCGTAATCGCCGTTCGAACGGCGATCGGGTGCGGGTCGGGTTTAAAATTTCAAAAATCATCACACACGATTCAAGCGGGATACGCCGTCGTGGCATTTCGCGGCTCGGCGTTGCCCCGCGACGCGGCCGGGCCCGACGGCGGAGCGTCCCCGTGCCGCCGCCGAGCCGCGGCGTCGCCCCGCGTCGACGGCTGTCCGCGCGGTCCGTTTACCAGACGCCCTCCCAGGTTGCGAGTTTGGTTATGTCGCCCCTCTGATGCTGATGCACGGTCGATACCTACCCTCGCGAATTCGTCGTGTACCGCCAATTCGACGGGGCTCCCGTAATTTCATCGGCTCGAGTCGACGGGATGCACGCGTAGTCCCCCTCGGCGTAGTCACCCCCTCCCCCATCCCTCGATCGGATTTTCGTTTTTTTTATATTTGCCGCGAATGCATCGCGGCTGTTATCCTGCAATTTAAGCATATGTACATTTTTTTTAAGTTTCCCGAATTTGTTCTTTCGCGGGGTGCACATTTTTTTGTACAAACGCTAAATATATGTTGCCGGTCTTTGGTTTATGATTACTGAGACAATTCTTATTTGACTTCATTTGTAGATCACTATACGCTATGCATGACGTACGGATTTCTGGAAATTATCTCCCCGCTTAATCGCGTGTATGCGCGTACTGATTTCGAACAAATCTGTTCAGGTGAATCTGCGGAAGCGTTGCTGTCCATAAAAAATGGTGGTTATCCATCCATCGACGAGATCAAGACAGAGATAATCGACGACGATACAATGGATATGGATGAGCTGCACAATTCGAATCTCTCGATGGATCAACAAATGGACACAGAGGAGTCGGAGCCGATACCGGAACTGGGACCCGCGGCTTTGGGTTTGCAGAGGGTGGGCACTCAGCCACCCTCCAAACCGAATCCCCCTACCCAGCCGGTGCAGGTGTTGAATCGCAGAGGGATGCCAGCGAGAATCAGGAAAAAGAACAAACTGTTCTACGATGACATTTTGATCAATCATCCACACCACAGGTGAATTAGTCTATGTTTAAAAAGAGAAAGTAATGGTAATTAGATAAATGGATCAATCGATCCTTCCAACTCATTATGTTTAATACATAATAATTATGCTCACAGAATCAAGAAGGATCCTTCGACCATAGAGGCGAAACAATCTCCCAAAAAGTTGATGCGACCGTCGCCAGTGAAGAGGCAGACTAAGATGTCGAGTACGCCAAAAAGTACAAGCTCGTCTTCGCAACCAGCAACTCCTGTAACGACTCCGATCAAGCAGGAGAAGGAGCCCGACAAGGTGTCGCAGCTCACGTCGCCGGATCGTAAAATAGGACAGAAAATCGGCATGAGACTGAGAAACTTGTTGAAACTACCAAAGGCGCATAAATGGGTCTGTTACGAGTGGTTCTACAGCAATATCGATAAGTACGTACAAATATCATAATGCGAAATACTGAAAAATACAGATATTAAAAATAGTATCCGCAACATGTATATAAATCAGTTTTTCTATTATTATTTTCTTAATTTTATTTTCTACTGATGTTTCTCGCAGGGTATTGTTCGAGGGCGACAACGACTTCATGATTTGCTTGAAAGAATCGTTTCCACAATTGAAGACTCGCAAGCTCACGCGCGTGGAGTGGTGCAAGATCAGGAGGATGATGGGCAAGCCGCGACGGTGCTCGCAGTCGTTCTTCGAGGAGGAGAGACGCGAGCTGGAGAGGAAGAGACAGAAAATACGGATGCTGCAGCAGAGGAAGACGACGGATATAAGCAGTTTCAAGGATCTGCCGTCTGAGATACCGTTGCAGTTGGTAATCGGCACGAAAGTGACGGCGAGATTGAGGAAACCGCAGGATGGTTTGTTCACCGGAAGCATCGACGCCGTCGATACCAGTAATAACACCTACAGAATTACATTCGAGAGAGCTGGACTTGGCACGCACAGCGTCCCGGATTACGAAGTTTTAGTATGTGTTTTGGTATCTTGTTCTCACCGAAGAAAATGTCTACGTTTACATTTGTATATTAATATAAGACTTACTTCTACCAGTCGAACGAACCACCGGAAACAATCAGCTTGGCATCGTTCTCTCAGAAGTTCAGACCACGGCCTTTGCAATACGTACCCTCATCGCCGTACATGATGAAGCTGTCCCCGCGATTGACCAATGACCCTTTAATATCGAACGTCTCTGCGTCCATTCCGAAGAAGACGAATACCGGCGGTACAGTGAACGGTTTTCCGCTCAAGTTACTCGAATTTATGGTCAAGGTGAACAAGATATTAATAACTAAGAAGAACAAACTCAAGAAGTTGAAGGAGATGAACGGGGAAGCTGAGAAGAGACGTTCCTTGGGTGAATCGCTTCCATCCGATTTCGAAAAAAAATATGCAGGGTACGATTTACTAAATATTTAAGAGATATTTAAAATATATGTGTATATGATGCTTTTTATTATACTGTATTGCCGTTTTTAGAATTATTGTCGAATTGGAGAGAATGAATGGAGCTCTCCAAGACTTTTTGAACGACATACAAGAATTGTGCCAGGAAATGGCGCCTGAACCCAGCGTGGCGGCGATGTTGGCACCGTCGCATCTCCGAGAGAAGTGCAAGCAAGAAGCGGCGGATATGGTTGCCAAAAATAATGTAATAAACGATAAAGCACCAGGAAAAATGAATCAGTTGGTTACGGATCTGACTGCGTTGATGTTACAAGTGAAAGTAAGATAAATAGATATTTTTGGCTAAATTTATTATTTCCCCTCGCTTATCTGATACTAAAGACATAATTTCCTTTATCGCAGAGCTTATCGGATTCCGATCGAAACGCATACGAGCTCAAAGTACTGCAAGGTACCATGGAGCAGATAAGATCGAAACTCAGCCCGCAGAATCAGCAAGTGTTTCAAAACTGCGTTGAAATTCACATGCAACACATTCAAGTAGGCTTAGGACAGATGGGTCCTCTAACGCCGTTTATGGCGCAAAGAGTTTGAAGACGAAAAACTATATCGTGTATTCTCACGAAGTGTACAGTATAACAGACGATCACGCATCACACGATATTTTTTAGAGAGCAAAAAACTAACCCTGTATTTTCTCATCTTGTATAGGCCACATTAATAATATATATTACCACGTCTACACAATATACATATATGATTTAAACAATTATATTAGTTTTGTATATACAGAATATATTTGTTCTTTAATTTCATCAATATGCCACATTCATAGAGACACTTAGAGGAAAATTCATGTATTGTTGGATAATATTACTGAACATATTAAATATCTAACGATGTTCATTTTTCAGATTTTTATGTGTGTATCATTCAATTAGGCATAAATATAAATGACAATGTTTATCAAGTCAGTGGCGATATTAGTATATGCGCGTGAATAGTGAAACTAAATTCCTTGAAATCTGACAAATTTCTAAGCTTGTATATATACAGTCGACTTATATAGATAATTCTATAATTTGTTATAAGAGAGAAAAAGAGAAAGAGAGGCTTTTCTCAGTGCAAACGTAATTTAAAAGCTTCAACTAATTATAAGAGATTTATTGTCACGAATAAAATATCTTTCGATCTACTTGCATTTGAAAATCATTTATGCGGATATTTTTTTCACGAATTTGAATCACGAATTATCTTTAATATATTCTTTGTGTATTTATGTAATTTTCTATTATTCAAATCACATAAGCAATCCAAAGAAAATATGTGCTTTTGATTAAATGAAAAAATTTTCAAGATAGAATAATTTCGTGTAATTAAGTACGTATAACAAATGTATAATAATAAATAGAGTAAAAGATTGATGATTTATAACTCTACAAACTGTGTCAAATGAATATCTATTTACCCTGAACATTCGTTGATTATTCGTTAATCTATTTCGTAAATAATCAATACGTAAATTCTCTTTAAAATATAACGTAATGATAGAACGTCAAATATATATATATTTTTACTTATTTTGTACCAATTACTATAAACAAGGAATTCGTCTTTCGTAAAATATCATATCAGGCAATTTCATGTAATCTAATAATACTCTTGCACTTGTAATTAATTTCTGTAATAGTACAATTATTTCTCTAATTAATAGTACAGAGAATATTTCAGCAGCTATCGTAAGCATAAATTGCTTCTTTCGTAATATCATATTATACACTATTATATTTCTACTATGTACATATATTTCGTATTATTATTATTATTATTATTACATTATTGATTACAGTTGCAACATTCATTCCAATAGTGTCATACATGTAAATTGAGACGTTTTTTGGAAACTGAATTGTTGCCTCTTATTAAGTAAACTTTAATAAGAAAACGAATAATTACATTTTTATGCAATAACTATAAATAAAATGGTAATTGAAAAAAAATTTAATTATTGATATTTATCCAGTTTCCTCCATTTTACTTCTGATGATTCATAATTAAATTTCAAGGCGATCGCACAATTTAGATTTTATAGAATGATAAATAAAGTTCAACACAAAATCATTACCCTGATTAACAATGGACAAAATTTTGATTATTTATAGATTAGCGTTCACTTTATTCTTCAAGCTGTTCACGAGATAACGTCAAGAAAAAAAGTTTGTTCGGGGATACGCAAATCGAGTTTTGCGTAAATTTCTCTACTTTTTATGCTTATTCAACGCTTCTAGTAATTCATCCGCGTCTTCACTAGTTTTCACTCTCAGCAGCACTGCGACTGGTGGCGGTGAAGAATCTGGCATCGGTAGGCAGACCAACATTATCGTGTTCTTGTTCATGCGCTTCGTGGGAATGCTTTGAGTCAATAGGGTATTGAGTAGCAAATTGCCCAAAGTAGTGTCGGCGCGTACTATCAATTGAGTCTTCCCGGTCGGTGTTGGCTTCAGATACAACATCCCGATGCCCCTGTCACTGAAGTTGTTGTCCTTCTTCACAAAGACTTTACATCTGTAAAAAAAAAAAAAAAAGAAATTAAGCATTTAATTAATTTACCATAATAATAAAGCTAAACTCTTTTAAAAAGTTTTATGCAGCTTTCATTTTGACATTTGCATTATAATTTAAAAAAATCACGATGTACTTACCTCTGTTCGTAAATGGTACCCTCTTCGGCTACCGGTTTGAAATCTGGCTTCGGCGGTTCCTCATCTTCCTCGTCCTTATTTTCATTGTCGGTTTTGTCCTCGGACTCTTGCGGTTTTACAGCTTGAGGAGCAAACGAAAATGGCTTTGCACTGTAAATTAGAAAAATGTGTATTTGCGCGTTTCAATCAGCATAAGATATCGCGGGCAAGTTAATGAACAAATTACCTTCCGAAACTAAATCCAGCCGTCACGTTACTGGCAGTGGAACTCTGTCCGAAACTGAAAGTGGGAAAGGTAGGGGCGACGGACTTCGCGTTGGACTTGGCCTCCTCCTCGTCCGTATTTCCGCTGTCCGAAACGGTAGGTTTATGCAGGAAGGGATTACTTTCCGTACTGCCGAATATATTCTTACTAGCGACGGTCGACTCGACGTTTCCAAAAATGGATCTACCCTTATCGGCAGTTACGTTATCGGTATTACCAAACACGGACTTGGAACTTTCTGCCTTCTGTTCTGCCGCGTTACTGAACACCGACGTGGTGTTCGCGGTGATGTTGGAAAATATCGACTTCTCAGGTTTCCACTCTGTTCCCGCGGTTAAAGGGGGCTTTGTACTTTGCATGGACTTTATTGTGTTTAAACTGCCATACGCTGACTTTTCCGTTTTTTTCTCCGAGCTGGTATCCTGTTTGCTGTCATTTTGCGCAGCCGAAGTGTGCGAGGTCTGTGCCTTGGTGCTCTCCTCTTTCGACGTAATCTCTTTCAAATATTTCTCGTAATCCTTAAATATAGGCGTCAATATGCAAAACGGATTCGCGTCTACATGGCTCTTTATCCATGTAGCGACGCTTTCATTCAGTCCCTTCAGTTTCGCGTAGTAATCGGACGAGTGATTCTTCGTCTTTTCAGCGCCTTGCTCGACCGAAATCTTTTTGCTCGCGCTTGTACTCGATGTAGTCTGTAATTTGGCAACTTCTTCCTTTTTATCTGCATTAGTTTCGGGACTCTTAGGAGCGCCGTTGCTCGCAATCTGCTTGCTACTTGTATTTACAGTCGTCGCTGACGTAGTGGAAGTGGTCGTACTAGAAGTGGTGCTTACGCTAGCTAGAAAACTGAACGGGGACAAACTCGGTAGGGGAGTAGTTTTGAAACCTGTAAACGTTCCAAATGCACTTTTCGTGGACGACCCCTGAAATAATCAACACGGAATAGGTGACGACGCGCGGACGAAGATAAATAAGATAATGAATAAAAAGAAATAGTAATCGGGGCATGTACTTACGTCCTTCGACGGCAAACGACGCCTCGCCGTTTTTATAACTCTCTTCTCGATTTGATCATTTGACGCCAGTACAAATGTTCCCGCTTCCTCCGGTTCGTTCTCCTCATTCCAGTTGTCATGATTCAATTCCGTCGTTGCTGTTCGCTTTGACATTTCTGCCATCTAATGCACTGTGTATGCGAAAGAAGAGGAGATCAGTAGATTAGTAACAATGTAAAATCAGTACGTTACTCCAGATAGGAAATTTTAATACACTTGAAGAATCGAATTTCGAGCTACAAACAATATCTCTATCAGAAGAGAAAAAAAATTGTACTTTCTACTATATTAAACAGTTCAAGAAAATAGACTCGCAGACAGGAAAGGGTTTTTTTTTTTCAAAATAATGTGGTAAGATGCGATACATGAATTTTTATTTCCCGCGAAATATATAAAATAAGGCTTCATTCCGAAAACGTTGCTCTGGAGCAAAAATTTTAGCTAAAAAGCTATAGCACAGGTAACGTAAACTATGTAGCTTCTTCAGTAAAATTTTCTTCGAAAGCAACGTTTGGAATGTAGCCTAACAAATAAAAAATCAGAGATATATATTTACGGAGTTTATTAGCGCGAAACGATTCGATATCACGTTGCCAAATCAGGTTATGTTTCCAACGATATGGTTCCGGCGAGTTTCTCGTGCACGAATCGCCCAGTTGAAATTACTCCGGCAGACGCCCTGCAGCCCGGAGCAGCGAATGATTCTATTTTTCCGGCGACCGAGCGAAATGCAAAAACGAGACGCGATGGCCAGGGCATAACCTTGCGGCGGCGAGCAAGGGGGATATCGATTTTTATTACACTCACCTCGAAATCGAAGAAATTGAAACGTTTGCCGCGGCGATTTCGACATTCGTACCTACCTACGAAAATGAAGAGAGGTAGCTGGGCCAGCTGGGATTCGCCCGGGATCAAGCAGCATTTTCACTGCCATTTTTGTCCAATAAGATGGACCTCTAAGAAATCGACCAATCGTAATCGATTATTCTCGTCACATATCGACTGCGATATGTCCATTTCTATAATCTATCAATGTAGATTAACTTTAATCTCGGTTTAACTTAATTTTCGTCTTTTTCTAGTTTTAAGAATTAGAAGAAGATAAAGAATAAATTCAACCGAGATTAAAGTTAATCTACATTGGTAGAAATGGACCTAACTATAGTAACTTTTTATTTAATTTTTTTTTAATTTTTACAGTATACATTTGAAGAATAACGTATCAAGTTGATACACTTTGCATCAAGGGATGATTAATTGAATACTTTTTCGGCATAAGACGCGCATGCAAGACGCGACCCCCGGGACGAGACGTGGTGCGGCAAAAGTTGGCGAGAGAGGTGGCCCGCCCGAAATTGGGAGACCGACCGCGACGCGACAAAGAACTCGCGCACAACTTCCGGCGTACGCGTCGCGCATTAATGCCGAAAGGTGCCGCCAGCTGTCGCTGACCGTCGCGGCCGGTGTCGCCAATTGGCCGACGAGCGCGGTAATGGCGACTACGACGAATCAGGGAACGAAACTCGCTCCGGCGCGGAATCGTCGTCGCCTGACGCGGAAGTTAATCTCCTCTCCTTTCCTTTCGCGTAGGCTAAGCCGGCGTAGTCACACCGGTCATTAATTTAAGCCCACTATATCCAGGTACGACGTTGAGCTACCGATCCGTGCCACGCGTGTAGAATATCTGCCTGCCGATCGTGCTCCGATTTCGGTTCCTGAACCGGGAGACGACGCGTCCTGACGTTGCTGGCGGTCGGGACTGATAGTCTAGGACCAGGCTTGCTTTGTCTATATCGCGCGCGCCGAGACGGTGTGACGGTGTACAGGGAACGCGCTTGAGAAATCACGATGGCGGCAGCGGTGGATTTTCAGAGTCAGGACGGTATGCAGGATCAATCGGGGCACCAGCAGAACGATTCTCATCAGCAGAATCAGGATTCGGGTATGCACCACCAGCAGCAACACTCGTCCTCGCAGTCGGCCTCGCAGCAACAGGCTACCGCCGGCATCCCCGGTAAGGACGACGAGCGTAAGCTCTTTATCGGCGGACTGTCCCGCAACACGACCGATAAGGAGCTGCGGGATCACTTCGGCAAGTTCGGCGAGATCGAGAGCATCTCGGTGAAGGTCGATCCCCACACCGGTATCTCGCGCGGTTTCGCGTTCATGGTGTTCACCAATCCGAAGACCATCGACAAGCTACTCGCATCTGGCGAGCACTACATCAATAAGCGCAAGGTACTGGAATTTATTTCTCCTGCACGCGATTCAGGCCTTGTAGCCTAATTCGTATCTCAATGCCAAGAGTCGCGCACCGCACGTTGCACGTCGATGTTACAACTTTTTGACAATGCGGCAGGACGATACTTATGCCGCCTCGTGCCTCGTTCCCGCATTGTACCCGCACGTTTTCACAGGAGCATAATTTATGTTTTTACAGGTGGATCCGAAACGGGTTAGCAAAAAGCCTCAGCACGGTAAAATCTTCGTGGGTGGTCTCACTCCTGAGATCTCCGACGACGACATTAAGAACTACTTCAGTCAATATGGTACCATAGTCGAGCTGCAGGCGCCTTTCGATAAAGTTAAGAATCAACGTAAAGGCTTTTGCTTTATCACGTTCGATTCGAAAGAGGTCGTATACAAGTTGTTGAAGACGCCTAAGCAGACGATCAATGGTAAGGAAGTAGACGTCAAGAAGGTGAAGGTTAACCCAGATCCAAGAGGCCAGGGCTTCTGGGCGCCCGGATATGGCGGATATGGATATGGCGGTGGTGGATACGGCTACATCCCCGAGTACAACGGTTATCATAGCTACGATGACATGTACGCGAACTACGATTACGCTGGTTACGATGGATACGACAATATGGGATATGGTCCCAAACCGCGAGGTAACGGTCCGGGACCGCGTCAATTTCAGAGACATCAACCATATTGAGAGAGAGTGAGAGGGAGAGAAAGGGAGAGAGAGAAAGAAAGAGAATGTGCGTATGTGTGTGAGAAAGAGAGAGAGAAAGAAAAGTATATGGCTGAGAGAGGTAAATCTCTTGGTTGTATTGAAACGTTTGATGATTACGAGTAGAACCTTTTATTATAGGTGGGACAATATTTCGTCTACCAAACCGAGACTGAATCCGGGATTTCGGGGGGGAAAAAAAAATTAAAAAAAAGAAGGAAACAGGAAAAAAAACCAGAAAAGCTTAGCGAGTTGTAAACAGCTCATTGAGCACAGAAAATACCTCGGATTCCCCGAATTTAGTTACGAAGGAAGCTTGCGCAAGTAATGGCATAACGACGGATATTAACAGTAACAGTTAAGAGTAACAATATTAATATCTTCGTTTAACAGACGTTGAGTAAATAAGTCAATCGTTCTCCAAAAACCAGTGCTTCGTAATTGAGGACCGAAACGGCCGACCGCACGTTATATTTTTTTCTCTCCGTAGTGTCTCCAATTTTTAACTCCGATTAACTTAATTGGCAATTAATTCAACGAACTTGCTAAGCAAGATTCCTGAAAGTCTCATCCAGATCAAGAAAACGAGTAAACAGCTCGTTAAGGCGTTTATGACCCCGTGTGTACTCTATGTAAAGATACGCGAAGTAATTGCATGTAAGTTGCGATGTAATTATATAACAGATGGGTTTGCTCCTTGTATACTTCGTTATACTTTTTGCACTGAAAGTGGAAAAAGTATATTTATAATGTATATGCATGATGTATGAGCATGAGAGGGAAGAAAGAGAGTGAAAGAATTCGAATGGTTGCATCGAAAGGACAAGGGCAGTAAACTAGTAGACCAGAACAGAAAGAAAGGTTGATAAAATACCCAAAACCATTAATAATTAATCACCAACCATTAATAATTAATGTCCAAAATCGTGCTTTTTACCTTGTCGATAACTTTTTATCGTGCAAAATACGCTGTCCGATATGAGATATGCAAACCTTACAATACAATATAGGATACATAAAATGGCATGAAACTTTTTTTCTTCTGCACAGAACGCAGAAATGGCAATCACAATATTTTAACTCCATTCGGTGAACCGTTGACTCTATTTGTATGAGTAAAGTTTGTATAGAAATGGATATACAAAACAATTTGTGATCAGCAAACGAACGAACTTGCTTTATCAGCCAATCATCCAATATAGTGAATATCAACCATTATAATACGATTGCATATTAAGCGAGAAGTTTTGTCGCAAGGCCTGAAATATGATTTGAGATGCAGAAATTTATATATAAATCACTTATTTGTATTATATTATTAATTTGCTATATTAACATGTATATCCATTGGATTATCCAAAAAGTTTAAGTCACATCTTCAGAAATATTCGAGTCAGAATGCCCAACACAAGATAAAATTTTCACAAGTTTTTTCCAACAAATGTAATACAATTGAATAAAAATATGTCTATATTTTAAAACGTAAGTATGTTTAAAGACAGTCAATGTAAATGTTTACATGTAAAAATGTGTGACTTTTTTGAAAAATTACAAACTTTTTGGAAAATCCAATACTTTAGAATTCTACTTTAGCTAATCATTTATATGTTAAAAATTTCAGTTTTATCATATTCGAATATTTCATATAGCTTGCAGTTGTACCGCCGACTATGCTTACAATTTAATGTGTGTAATAATTCAAATTGTTAGATATTTTTTTTTATTTTTGCAATCGCCATCTAATTATATGAAAAAGAAGATTCGAAAGAACTTTCCACGAAGGAAAATACAGGCTGATCCGAGTCTAACGTTGCGTTATTGGTTGTATCCCGCGTTAGCGAATTATAATCATCGGTTTATAGTTATAATGCTAACGCTTCTCTTACAATCCTACAATAATATGTATATGACTTTAACCTTGAAAATATGTATCGAGTATTGTGATCAGTATCATTTGAGTTGATTGAATCTCTCTCGCTCTCTCTCTCTCTCTTTCTCGATGAAGAGTAAGGCAGAGAGGTTCAAATTCGTCTAAGGTGTTATTTTTCGCAATTTCTCATTAGTAATAGAATATAAGTTAATTAATATTAGAACTTTTTTTTTTTTTTACTTTCGCATAATCAACAGCAAAGAAATTGTGAATAGTTCGTATTGTTATGTTTACATTCAATTTCATGTTATCACTGACAAGGTACTTATAACTCTGCGGTCTAAATTATTTCTCACAAAATAAGAAAGATCAAATATTTCAGCCTCCAATTTAATTTTACATTTGGTGAATAAAAAAAATTTTTATTATTTGTAAAAATTGGAGATATATGCAGCTGATGGTAAAGTGCACTTTGTAATTTATCTTATATATAAATTACATAGAATATTGTTATATCGTATAGATATTCGTATCTACGAAACATTCGCGTTATTGCAAATCATATAATTAACATCTCAAACCAATCGAGTTCACATTTTGACAATCACGCGTGAGTTTAAGACGAAAATTAGTCTTTTCTGGTACCTCGTCGGTGCTGCTACTCTTTATGTTCGAAGGACGTTCTATTAAAATCTCGCTGGAATAACACATAAATTTAATTTATGCGCCAGTAACTCGGATTAGCCCACTTTTTTCTGCCATGAATTCTATTAAACTCGGAGTTCAATTCTGCTTAGGAATCTAGCTAGTATCCAATCCGGCTTCTGAGAGGCTGAGAAAGAGGATCAAGTTTAGAGGACAGAAAAATGAATTGTCCACGTGGGCAATAATTAAACGCAGTCTTCTGAGGCTGAATAAACGTGACATTTACAGTATACTCACGAGTCATGATTGCAGAAAAAAGTATCGTACATTATTTAAAAAAAAAAATCATGAATTTCTGAGCGTGTTTAAAGCGCTTTTTTTTCAAGCTTTGCGATTAAATGCATAAAGTCTAAGTATCTTAATGATCTTCTCCGACATGTTCATGTTCTCTTCGCAGTCACAAGCTTTTTGAGAATGCTCGCTTGAGAATGGAAAAAAAAGGAGTAGTTATTATTCAAGGACCAAGGCCTTAGATCAAAATCCATTTTTTTTTTCTTGTGCTTAACTCCTAACTTGTAACATTGGTACATAATAACATAATGTAATCTACCCTTATAAGGTTAGTAACCTAATAATAACTTATAGTTACTATCTTTGAGATTGGAAAACAAATTATACATGTCGTATGTGTGCGTGCGTGCGTGATACAACTTGCAGCTCCCGTATTACGCCCGCCCACACGTATGTGTATGTGTGTTTATAATAGAATACGAAACCAGCGAAAATATTTAGACGAAAAAAAAAACTAAAAAAAAATTATATAATTAAAATATGAACGTCCTGGGTATACACGTGAAGTGCACGCGCGCGAGCGATCCAACTGATACTTCCTGCTGTCGACGAAATAGCGCATCTAGTAGTAACGAGGAAAACGGAGAAAAACTTGCGGTAATTAATCATAGTTTACACAATATTTAACGCAGCATCGTGTCATATTATCGATATCCTAAATGTATCATAAAATGTATATCGCCATGATATTGTCCGGCAGTTTGTCTCTAATAACGTGTAAGATGGATAAAACCTATCTTGAAACAAAGTTCTATTATTTGCGTGTCATCTGTGTACGGTCTGCGTGTCTCGGTCTGTACGAACGAACAAAAGAAAAAAAAAAGAAAATAAGATAGGAAATAGACATATGTAAGGATAAAATCACCACCGCTGGAGGATGATGATGATGAGCTGAGTGTGTGACAATGGCTTCCCTAAACCGATCCAGGTGATTAGAACGTTTAAGGCGCGAAACGACCGGGGATGATAATCAAGTTTCTCTTTCACGTTTCTTTCACATTTCTATATCGAGCAGCAGTTCCTGTTCACTGTGTAAAGACTGTCCTTCATATCGCGATAAGACTGTTAACACAAGTGATGATACAGGCACTAGAAAAATCTTGACAATTAATAGAACTTGCGGTTTCGACCACGAAATTGACAGGATTAACTGATTAACATAATTGTAAAGAATGTAGATAAGACGTACAATGGGACTACATTTAGATACATCGAAATTATATTGTAACGGGGCCCGAAGAAGCTATAGTCAAAAAATTAAAAAAAAAAAAAGATTCTTTCTCAGACGTCGCAAAGGCATCAACGGTTTGGCTTTAACTGTTCATCGTGCTAAATAAAGTTTAACGCGAGTGGCCGCCCACTCGAGAAGGTCTCCAAAGCCAGGCTAATGTCTTTGAAATTAAATCTGTATACTGTGTATACCATATTTGCTGCGTGCGGAAATATATATTGAAAACAGACGAGAGGTAGAGTAGAGAGGGAGAGAGAAAAATTAAAGGGAAACGATACAGATATTTTGTTACTATTAATTACTATTCGCCTGTTTCACCCATGACACAGTGTATATTTTAATTATAGCAAAAAAAAAATAAAAATGCCCATTATTTCAATTGTTCCTTGTGGCATTTATAACATACAATATATACATATGTAATGCACAAAGTTTATTTGTTCTCTATTTTTTAATTCTATTCTATTTCTCATACTTTTTTTTTTTTTTCAAGGAAGATTGAGAATTTTGAAGATTGCATCTTCAATTTTACATTATATAAAATATATATATCACAAAAAATATACATATATATTTAATTATATTAAATATATAAATATATAAAATTTGTAATTATTTTAAATATTAAAAAAAAAATATATATGTATATTTAAGAAATGTATAATGAATATATATATAATTATATATCTAATCTTAATCTTCTTTCTTATATATTCAATTTTAATCTTCTGTCCTACATATCCAATCTTAATCTTCTATCACACATTTAATCTCTCTTTGTCCTTCTGTTCTATATATTCATTCTTCATTTTTTATCTCTTATATTTAATCTTTTATACGTAATCTTTTATACACATATATAAAACTTTATCTATATATAAAACTTTATTCGACGAATAACAATACAGTCGAGTACGATACAGTTTTTTTTTTTGCTCAGATCCGAAACGTTATTTTCCATCATCGTCATTGTTTGACGAGCGGATCTGGCGAGGAGGAGAGGATCGCGGATGACATTAACGACTTCCTCGACAGATGCCGCTGCGCAACCTCGCAGTGCCCCTTTCGGCAGACGGCAGTTCACTTTGGCAGTTTCCGATACTCCGGTACTCCCGATGGTTACACGAGCGGCGCTGACTCGTCGGCGTGTGCGTGCGTGTGTGTATAACAGCTGTGTGGCTGCTCGAGTTCGTCGCGTTTTCGGAGCCACGCACGGATCTTCTCTCGTGGGAGACCCGAGTTACCGGATGCGTCGTCTGTGAGCGGAAGCGGAGGATCGTTGCGGACGGAGAGAGCGCGAGCGGGAGACCGACCGACGAGAGAAGCAGAGAGAAAGCGTGTTCCCGAGCGCGGTGCTATGCCTCACCCAGAATCGGCACGGGTGCGATCGGTCACGCCGCCTCGACGATCGCGGGGATCCGCGATGTAGCCCCCTCCTCCTCCTCCTCCTCCACTACCCGCCTATAATCCCGCTCTGCTCCCGCTTGCTTACCCCGCCGAGTCCGAGGAAAAATACAGCACACACACACACTCTTTCTCTCTCTCTCTCTCTCGCGTCATCGTCGCAACACCCCGGTCACATCGATGCGTCGTCACGCAACGTCGACGGGCTCACGCGCAACAACGCTCATCACGGATCTTGGCCACCGCCGCCGCCGCCGCCGCGTCGAGTCACCTGCTGCGACTACGCGCTCCTCGTCGTTAACGTCGCTGCCTCCCACAACAAGTGCCTTCTCACGACTCCTGTCGTACGGCCGTGCGAGCCTCCCGATCGCAGGGGAGGCGGCGTGCAGTACGTGTCACCTGCCCCGGCGGTGAACGCGACGACGGGTCTTTGCCGATTACCGCTTCGTCTAATCCTGCCTTTGCGCCTCGGTAAGTGGGCGGCCTGGAAGAAAGTAGCGATGCTGCCGAAGGTTCAGATACCTGGAGGATAGCGATAAGGAGATAAAAAAAAAACAGCTTCGATAGGAGAACGCAGGTACTATAGTCTTCGCCGTGTCTCGGTCTTGCCGTGAAAACGATCGCCGCAGTCCCCCCTGGGGTTTTGAATTTATCGAAGAGCGAATCTCAAAGACTGAACTTGCAACATTAGAAAATGTTAAATTGACTAAAAATCACTTTATTTCACGTTACTTCTGATCTGAGACTTTTAAACTGATGCTAGAACGTTTCTCTCGAAGTCTTTCACGGAGAGACACGGTTTTCTTTGCCGAGTAACTTTAACAAATTACTTTTTACATACTTATTTACATACTTATTATTTTTACATAGTTAATTGATGCTGGAAAGTTAAGAAACGGTATCATTTGAAAATCCTCCCGGAGCACGAAGAAAAATTTGTGGTCGATGCTGTGGATTGACAATTGAAATGACAACGGGCATGTTTTTCCCCTCGCAATAATGATTTGCTCGCGAGATCGAAAACTGTCCGAATCATCAGATTTCTTCCTTTGCGTGGAGGAAAAAAAAAACACGCGGCGACTTGGCATTGCACAATGCATACATTGCACACGTCGTCGACTATCGTCGGTTGTTCGGGCCCTAGATACATGCAATTGTTGTCTGCGCGCGGTCATTGGACACAGTCAGACAAGTTGGTATTCAAACAAGTGACAATACTCCGTGCTGAAACCTGCGTGGATACGGTATTTTTATCGAGCGAAGACGTGGCATTTGTACAATTCAATTGAAACTGATAATTACGGTGAAACGGCGAAACGGAGCTGGAGATTTAGGTAGCCTCTAACAAGACGTAACGATCTAATGTCAGCAACGATCTGAAATCGTTAGCTTCGATTCGCATGCTTTCATCTCATCACGCATAATTCATAATTGTAATTATTAAAAGTATACGGGCATTACATACTGATGTCGTTAGTGATACTAATAGCTTAATAGTAACACTTAAGTTAGTCTAAAAATATAATTAGTACTTGTGTACTCGTCTGAGTCAGAGAGCCATTATTCCCCTATTATCTATATTTATAGAAAAAAAATTCTAGACTTTTTTTTTTAGATATATATTCTCTTTCTCAGGTAGACTCAATTGAATTTCTAACCCGTTATTAAGGTGTGAAAATTTGTACAATTGTATAGAGTTTATTAAAGCCCAGCTATTCTAAAAGCTTTAACTTGTAAATGTGTTCGAATATTTTAAAGTTTATCTCTGAGGTCTTAAATTAAAAAATTTATGTGATATAGATTATATATATATTTTTTATTATGACAGAACAGGTAAAAATAAGATTATATGTTTGTAGTACCTGTGCTTGTCACATTTTACTTTAAGAAAATTAAAAGACCGAATTAATACTCTAAAATATGTTTTAAAAATAGAGAAAATTTTTATTTTTAAACTGTCCACTTAGGAGATCTAAAAATATCGAAAGGAAAAAAACTTGTGTATCTTCCAGATATACATTTGTAAAAGGTAAAAGAGTCAGTCATTTGTTCTTTATATAAATATTATCTGCGTAGCATGAGAAAGAAAAAAAAAACACGTGCACATGTGTAACTTTGTTTCCAGCACGCGAGCACTTGAGGGTTAAGTAAGATGTCGTGTCGACGCGAGGTAACGTCTCACATTTGTGGATATTGTGATTTTTACAGAGAAGTGAATCAGCTGGAAGTTGAGAGAGAAGATGCATTGCTGAGAAACGGCGCGAGAAACTGAGGGATTGTCCGTTCGAGTAGTCGGGAGTGGCGATTCCTCGGCACATAACCTGAAAGAGACAAGATGTCCCAGCTAAACATCAACACGGGCAAGCGGGGGAGGGGGGTCGCGAGTACCTCCGCGTCGACCGTATCCGCCCTGAGCAGCTCCACCGACTTGGCGAGTCTCTTCGAGTGTCCCGTCTGTTTCGACTACGTGCTTCCACCGATCCTGCAATGTCAGAGCGGACATCTGGTCTGCACGAATTGCAGGCCGAAGCTCTCCTGTTGCCCCACGTGCAGGGGTCCATTGGGTACGTGTGACAGTACCCCAAGACTTTGTTTCCTTCTTTCGTTATGGAGATTGTGCTGATAATGCGTTTTCTCGACGAGCAGGTAACATTCGTAATTTGGCCATGGAGAAGGTGGCGAGTAATGTGATGTTCCCCTGCAAATACTCCACCAGTGGCTGTACCGTTTCGCTGGTGCACACGGAGAAGGCAGATCACGAGGATGCATGCGAGTTCCGTCCATACAGCTGTCCCTGCCCGGGCGCGTCCTGCAAGTGGCAGGGGTCGCTGGAACAAGTGATGCCGCATCTTATTATGAGCCACAAAAGTATTACGACCTTACAAGGTAATGAATCTTCGCCGTCTGATCTGTTCGTACCGTGGTTAAGTAACTTTTCCCCCTTTTTAACACAGTTTTCATACAATTCTTTCTTGTACAATCTTCTCCTTAGGTGAAGACATTGTTTTTTTGGCAACTGATATTAATCTCCCTGGAGCCGTGGATTGGGTCATGATGCAGTCTTGTTTTGGCCACCACTTCATGCTGGTGCTCGAGAAACAGGAGAAGTACGATGGACATCAACAGTTCTTCGCGATTGTACAACTGATCGGCTCCAGGAAGCAAGCAGAAAACTTTGCTTACAGGTAAATGTAGCTCGTGTTATTTGTCTAAAAAAAAAAGTAACATCTAAAACGATATTGAATAGATTTAATATTTCCTCCTCGCATAAACGTCTCTTATTTTAATTAAACTCATTCGCGTCCAACAGACTAGAACTAAATGGACATAGGAGACGTCTCACGTGGGAAGCGATGCCGCGTTCCATTCACGAGGGTGTGTCGTCCGCGATTTTAAATTCTGACTGCCTTGTATTTGACACCTCCATCGCGCAGCTGTTCGCTGATAATGGGAACCTAGGAATTAACGTTACGATTTCTATGGCCTGAGGAAAGCCAGAAAAAGCAGTGTAAAAAAGAAGAGGAAACATTATTCGGAACATCATTACTACTCGGAACACATGTCGAGCAGTCCCTGGGATCGTGGGTGCGGTAAAGTATTCCAGTGGGACTGCCCGCTATGCGTAGAGAAACTCGAATTCTTTTTACGTTATCAAATGGATATTAGCAATACACAGAGACATTAAGGAATGTTGTTTCGAGTTATGTTGACGATACACGCGGCATTTGGATGCTCAGTGCAGGACCGCCGTTGAAAAAGCTTTAAAGTGTTACTACTGAGGAAGTGATATCGATAATATCACGGAGTTGAATGTAATAAACATCTTTTCGTATTCATGCTGTGACTTTGGAGCTTTGATGCTCAGCACGATATCGAATTCCGAGAAAAAAAAAAAAAAAGAAAGTACCTGATATCCGCGTTATTGTCACATTACTCTTACTCATTTCGCATCGGAAATTCTTTCACTCATCATATCTCTTTGGCGAGATACGACGCATTATATTGGATCATACTGACAGCAATTTTTTTCTTGTCTGTATTTTAACGCTTTTCTGGACTTGGTACAGCGAGTGCGAGCATTACAAGGCAAATTTCACAAGTTTACTCTATGAATCTCGTCTGTGCTATGAATGTAATTAAGTGCATTTCGTTTTCCGCCGATATATATTTTTATATTATTATTATTATTTTGATTTACATAAAATTCACTTTCTCGAGACCTTAAAATATACTTTCATTCTTCATATTTTTAATTTTACTAAGGGTCCTGTATTGTATTTTGTATATAACGCGATAAATTCGGTTTTTCGTAACTAACACAAATGCAACTGTTTCGTTATTCCGCATTATGATTACGAATTAGTGTTTTTTGCGATATTTATACGCAAATAGCAGTGAAAGGCAGATCAGTTTTTCACGATCTAGTCTGAATATCGAAGGAAGATGCTAATATTTTTACAACAGTTGTATTAACAGATGGTGCGCGTTTCGAAATGTATTGATAGCACTGGAATATCTATGGCATACGTGAGCTATAGATTTTCCGGACTGTCAATACATTTCCGGACGCATCCATGGTGTGGAGCAATGTTCAATTGCAGCAAAGTTCCTGTAAGCAAAATAAAAAAAGGAAGTTTAAAAGTGACTGAAGCAAAGAAGTTAAAATATAAAAGAAACATTTTATATAATTTCAGTATTTTTTAAACGTTACAGCATTCTCTTTCTCTTGCAATATTAATGTCATGTCGTTTATTTTTAAATAAAAATCATTTTATCAATATTAGTGCAAAAAAAAGGAAAGAAAATGCTTTGCATTACGTTCAATATTTATTGAATTAATTCTCATAATCAATATCTTTTTGTAAATAAATTATATATTATAGAGAGTGCTATATCATAAAATAAATCGTTCTTGAAATAAGATTTTCCCATAGCTGTAAAGATTTTCTTTATTCTTGTGATTATGCTTCTCGAGATACGTCAGATTCTTCCTTTATACCGTTATTTTGTATAACAGACGTAAGTTTTGAAAAGCAATGAGATATTTAAAGAAAAAAAAAAGAAACAGAGCATTGAACCGAATTGCATCACAAAATTACAAAGTCGTTCAATAAGTCCAACTAACCAACGGAGAGAGAAAGTTACGGAGAACATTGTTTTACTCGGAGGAACAATTTAGACTGAAATGTAATTATACGAGAGATGAGAAAGTAGGCTAAGTCTAACGATTGATTATATATATTTTTCATAGATCGCGGAAAACTTGCACGAGTTTTACTTTCGCTAAGTAATTCGTACTCGTTATTGTTGAAACTGCCTTTGTCGAAGGCCGCTGACGACTGGTTGGATTAATACCGCTGTATTCTATATAATCGCTCGCGAATTACTTATCGGTTTAATGCCCTGTAACACAGTTGTGAGAGAGAAAGAGAGAGAGAGAGAGAGAGAGAGGAGGTTCACTCAGAGATGAGAGAGATGTGTACAGACGGATGAGCACTGTTACTGTAAATAAGACGCGAAAAACTTATTATGTGATATAATTAGTATTATAATGTACATCACACGGTTTGCCGATGTTCACGACGTTGGAGAGTAACTCGAGGGAACCAAGTGCACGGTGTGCGCGCACACACACACACACCGTAAAGTAATGATTTTAGAATGTATTACCAAGCTTGCAAAAACGGATTATATTTACACACACGTCTGTCGGGCGGGCATTTAATATTAAGTGGACTCACACTGAGAAACGAGCGGTTCTTGGCGGTTATCAAAAAAAAAAGAAAAAAAAAGAAAAAGAAGAAACAGAGAGGAGAGAAAACGAGATCGAGCCCCGAGTATTGACGTTAATTGTTGCACCCCCGTATCGAGAGACTGTAAAGAGAGAGAGAGAGAGTATCTTCCCGGACTGTTGGTGTGAAGCGTAATTCGGCAAATCTCGCGTCGGAGATTCGTCGGGGAATCTCGGTGCGCGCTCGTCATACCGAGATCGCGATGCGATTGGCACGAGGATTCTACGTAGAATGTAGTCGTGCGATGTGTGGAGAGAGAAGGATTACGGAATATGCACGCTGGATGTGATTTTTATCTCTCTGTAAAAACACTGCACTGGACGGTGACCTAATAGTTTATGTTTCAAAGAAGCATCACATTGTTAAGTACCCCCTCCCCCCCCCGCCCCCTTGTACATATGATAAGATAAAACGATTTAGCATAATCCTTATCCTTTAACCAAGTAGTAATTTATTCTCTAGCATTTCGCGAAGGCTCCATTGCCGTTTTTCATTGAACACGATCATAAGAAAAAGAAAAAGGAAATGCATCTTACGTTCGATTCGTTCCTGACGTATGTATTCGTTGTTTCGCTCGTATCGCAGAGAATGGATTGTATGAGCTTACAGCGCATGCAGGCTGCGTTCCGTTTTCACGCTTTCGGCGCTTTTTACAGCGCTCACGGCATCGTTTTATCCTTATTATTTATCAAACGTTAAACAAGGACAGGGCATGCCTCCATAGTGCGTGAGCGTTAAAACGGGACGCAGCCGTGACGTTTCTAAAAGGGAAGAGGAGACGGGAGAAGTAATTTAGTTACGTTCGAGCTGAATGAGAGATAAGTGATACTGGCGAGCGAGAATATGTAAAAAATGTTGAAGGCTCTGGAAGCGCTCGCTGTCGCGTGGAAATGACACCGAGTGACAATCCCATCGTCGTTTCTGCGCGAATCTAAAAAAAAAAAAAAACGCTTTAGATTATCTGTGTTACATGATCTCTCCCACGTTGAAATTATTACGTTTTGAAATTAGGATACCCGAAAATTATATTGCATGTACGCGGCGGACGGTTTTACGTTGTATTTAAAGGAATTTTCCCCGAGGTATTTTTTACACTCGTGTAAGGGCTCGGAACCGTCCGCTGGTTTTAACGTAACTTATTAGCTATTCGCGAGATCTGCTGTTTCGGTTGCGAGATGTGCGAGAAATGTAACTGTACTGTGCGTACACACTTGGCGAACGCCCCGACATATCCCCCCAGATAAATCGCGCGAATGAGAACGAGAGAGGTTTCCCCTGTTTGACGACACAATTTGTGAAATCCACGAAATGAATCGTCGTGTCCACGACGGGTTCTACTGTTTTACTCTGCGAGATGTCTAGCGGAGAAGCCAGCGGTGCTCGTGTACTCGCAGAATAATGTAATTGTCGAGAGAATAGCTTTATTTAAATAATATAATGTATATACTTATATATGCATATTTATAGAATCTACAAAATGTTCAAGCCATGTATAAAGAGCATGAATAAATTTTTTTTTATAGATACTTTCCTATCACCGTCTTATTCCTTTTATTTCAATTCTTAAAACCGCTTTCTTATCACACATTGCAAGTATAAAAACTTGTATCTGAACAATTGAGAATTAATCATGATTTATTTACTTGGATTTCAAATTGGTTTTAGTTATCAATTTTATTTTATCAATTATATTTTATTTTATCAATTATATTTTAAGTTATTGCGGACATAATGAAGAAGTTAAATAAACTTAGAAGGATTTGATAGTTTTGATTGAAAATGAATGAAAATCAATGAAATAGAGAACAAATAATTCTTGAATTTTATGTAATGTTAAATTTTATGTCTCTATTAAAAAATCTTAAAAAATTTTATGTAATCTGTTAAAACAATTATTTATGGAATCCTATATGTAGCGTTTTGTGGAAAACATAATTATCGCTGTTATATATTTCATAATTATCTTATCAAATTTTTTTATAATACAAAAAAATTCTATAAATCATTCCCTTGTATAAAAGTTTTTAAATATACTATAGATAGTATATTAAAAGCCTATAAGGCTATTAATATTAATTATACAATTAGATAGCCTCGATATAGAAATATATGGAGTAAGAGATAATTAATTGGATTAAAATAATAATTAATACCTTCATATTCACTACCTTATTTTCGTGGAAGCGAACAGTTGATTGGCCGTATCCCGTTTCGTTCCGCCAGTATGTACTTCTTTCTTACCACGTGCGTGTGCGAACAGACTGATCACTGAACACGTGACGCGGCACACGCAGTACGCACATGTCGAGAGTTGTGTGTCTGCTTGGTTATGGTTCTCTTTAAATTTATGTTTCTTTAGCTTCGTTTATGAATTGATCGAAAATGCGCTGGAAACTCCCGAAAACGGCCATCTACGCTTCCATGGTGGCTACCACCGGCGGCGTGGCGTATCTGACAAAGTACTGCTGCTCGAAATTAAGATTCTCCGATAAATCAGTCATTTTACATTTGCTCGCGCATTCTATTTTAAAACTATCAAATTCATGAATCTGTTAATCTTGTAAATTAAAGATATAATTGCATGAATGTAGAGCCATTCTTTTATACATGTAATATTAATGCTAAGTGAGACACACGGTATTTTTTATTTCCTTTGCCTTGCGATATAAACAGTAAAAGTGATTATGTATATCGAACTTGCAGGGATTATTTGGGAGGCACGAAATACGAAGGGAAAGAGGATCTAACGGACAAGATAGTCATTGTGACAGGAGCCAATTCCGGTATCGGGGAGGCGACGACTCTAGAGTTAGCCAAGCGTAATGCAAGAATTATTATGGCATGCAGGGACATGGAAAAATGTGAAATGGTAATGTCATCGTTAGTATCTATACTTAATTTACAAAAGGAATTATACAATTTTAAAATTGTAAAATTGAATAGCCAACATAAGATATTACTTTTAAGTCGAGCGGTTGACTCCTCATGTATTGTTACTATTTTAATTTATTGTATTTTGTTCTTGCAGGTACGCCGAAATATCGTACTCGACACAAAGAATAAATATGTTTACTGCAGGAAGTGTGACTTAGCGTCGCAAGAAAGTGTTAGGAAATTTGTTACACAATTTAAAAAAGGTGATATTTATAATTATACGCACACAGCTAGAACTTTCGCATTTTTACTCAACTGTCTCTTCCGCTTGCATTCGTTTGCAGAATTTGATAATCTTCACATACTTATTAATAACGCCGGTGTGATGAGATGCCCAAAGAGTTACACCGAAGAAGGCATCGAGATGCAGCTTGGAGTCAATCACATGGGACACTTCCTGCTCACGAACTTGCTTCTGGACGTCTTGAAAGCGTCCGCACCAGCGAGAATTGTGAATCTGTCGAGCGCCGCTCATCGTAGGAGCAAAATAAATATGAAGGATCTAAATTCGGAGAATGATTACGACGCTGGTAGAGCGTACGCTCAAAGCAAATTAGCTATAATAATTTTCACGCGGGAATTGGCGAGCAGATTGAAGGGTAATTTAGGCATAATAATATGGCTCCTGTCACAATGACTATCTTGTATAATTCCATAATTTTTTCTTCTTTCGTAGCGATTGCTAAAGTGTACTTTTTATATATCTTTCAGGAACCAATGTTACCGTGAACGCCGTCCATCCCGGTATAGTAGATACAAATATAACGCGGCACATGTCTGTGTACACTAACTTCTTTACACGAATATTCCTGAAGCCATTCGCCTGGCCATTTATTAAAGCACCTCGGCACGGAGCTCAGACTGTTTTGTACGCGGCATTAGATCCTAGTCTTGCAAACGTTTCCGGATGTTATTTCCAGTAAGCATCAGTGAAAATTTAAAAAATGATAAATGTTGTGAATATAATAACGATGCCATTATGCTGTTATACTTGTTGTAGGAATTGCGAAACCAAGGAAGTATCGGAGGAAGCGAAGAGTGATGATATGGCGAAGTGGTTGTGGAAAGTCAGTGAAAAGTGGACAAAATTAAATGTTGCATAAATAAATGTGCGATAGAAGTGTACAATTGCTAGTAACATGTTAATTGTTTCTGAAATATGATATGAATTTTTAATAATTATGTTGTAGGAAAAGTTTTTATTAAAGATTCGCCATTTGCGTATTTTGTTTCTTCCATAAAAAGTTATAGAACGTACGGGAGAATAAATTCAATAAATCTCCGCCAAAATGTGGTTCGAGTCTCTGCTAAGTGGGGTTTGAGTCTCCGCTAAATTTATATTTTACTCAGATCGAGGAGCAGCTGCAGGCTCAAACTCCACTTAGCGGAGATTCAAATCCCACTTAGCGAAGACTCGAACTTTATTTAGCGGAGACTCGAACCCAACTTATCAGAGACTCAAACCACATTTTAGCGGAGAAAATTTTATTGAATGTATTGAGTATTCTCTCGCTGCACTCATAGCGCGCGCGCATTCGAACCCCACTTAGCGGAGACTCAAACCCCACTTAGCGAAGATTCGAACCTCACTTAGGGTGCCGTGAGCCGTCCCATATGGCAGAGATTTAGAGTTTTAGACACAGAATGACAGAAAGCTGGTGCATCGTCTCGGTCTGTATACGTACTCTGTTATCCGTCGAAAATGTTTGTGGCTACGTAGTTTCAACCTGCACATGAAGGTGCCAGTAGGCAGATTCTATACGCCCAGGGTTGTTTACTCTGTCTAAGCGTCTAAAACGTCTTTCAGGTTAGTTTCACGAATCGAGGAGTGTGTGTTGAAACAAATAAATTGAATTTGCATGTTAAGTTTACATCCTAATACAATTATTAATGCCTCTAATCGCTAATTAATAATATTATTTTGCAGAAACGATCGTCGAATGTGTCATCACGATGTTGCGATCGTGGGAATCAGCGGACAGAAGCATCAAAAAGAATGTACTGAAGCCGGGTATATTTATCAACAAGAAGCCAACGGAATGCTCCACGTGCACGGTTATTGTGGAGAAGATAAACGTTACTGGAACAATTGAATCGGATTTGAGAGAGAAATATTATACGACTATTCTCGATGGCGAGCCCGAGAAAACGGTGGTTATAGGAGAAGCCGCCTCAGAAATTGACGAAAAAATCGAGAGAGTGATTTGCATAATGAATCTCGATGAGAGGAGTCTCGTTACCATCACCATGCCTTTAAAACAGTCGGACGGGTCTACAGTTAGTAACGAATCAATAGCAGTCGAGTTTCAGATCACTCTGACTCTCTGTAATCGTCATAAGTCAGTTTGGGAATGGAGCGCGGCGGAGAAGTACGAGGTGGCCCTGAGATACAAAGGGAGAGGTACCGAATTGTTCAAGGAGTCCCGAATCACAGATGCGTTCCGCAAGTTCAGCCGAGCTTGCAAGCTTCTCATAACACTGGAGCCGATAGCGGATTTAGAATTGGACAAACAGCTGGAGTACAATATTAACGATTTAAGACTCGCATTGTATAATAACATGGCCATATGTCAGCTGAAGCGAATGAACTATCAACACGTTATCGCGCTGTGCACCAAAGTATTGGACAAGGATGCGAATAACGTTAAGGCCTTGTACAGAAGAGGAGTGGCGTACGGCAGTATGGGGGACAACGAAAAAGCTATAACAGATCTGAAGGCGGTGCTTACCTTAGAATCCAGCAATCACTCGGCGAAGGAGCTGTTTGACGTCTACAACACCAGATTGCAGGAATCAATTCAGAGAAATAAAGATATGATGAGAAGAATGTTTAAGACTTACTAGTTTTTTTTAAATCGCTTTGTAATTGTACATACATTCAGTTCTTTAAGAAATAAAGTATATTTATTTTATAAATAGAAAGGTGTGATATTTTTATTTCTATTCGCGAACTCGTGCTTAATTATTTTGACGTTGTTAGCGTTACGTGTAATTATATAATAATGTGTATGTGTCTTAAATAAATTGTAGAATTAAATTAAAAAAAGTTGTACTGCGCGTAGTTTTACAGGTGTATAGATATATATATTTATTTATTTAATCTTTTTTATTACAATATTTATTAGTATAAAATGTATAGCTGAAAGATAGAATTATATGTGCAGTAATATACATAATGCATCCTACACAAGTTTTTATGTTACAAAATTTTTTAATCGAGGTAACTTTGTCAATAGCCACGACTACAAATTATTCAATAGTGTCATGTTTGTTCATTTTTAATTACATCACAACTGTGTAAAACATATGAGATATTACAAGTTTTCCTTTCATACAAATATCCGTATCTGCAAATGACTTGGACAATCTGTTCGTTCAACCGTCGTATATTTATATCAATTTCCTAATTATTTTACAAAATTGCATAACAATATATAACTGCTCTAATACGAAAAAAATTGTAGTTTAATAGTATTCGATGATTTATACATATTATCTCAAGTTTGAAATACGATATTGCGAGAATAATAACTCAAACATTAAGTGCCGGTTGAGAGGAGAAGATATAAGGGCACTTGTTAAGTTGTAGTAATCTAGAAGAGGCAAACAAGTATTGGTTAGAATAAAAATATAAACTCTGCATCTTTTGTGAAATAGAAGCAGATAGTTTTGAGCATTATTTAGATAATTGTTATAGGACAAAGAATTGATTTGCAGAGCTAAACGATGATAAAGAGGTGATAAGCAATAGGATATGGAACGAGATTTTGGATGAAAAAAAGGTGAATGTATTAAAGGTTTGGAAGGAAAGAAATAAGAAACTAAAGAAGAGAAAGGAAAAGACATGTAGAGATAGAGAGGAGGTGTAAGAAGACTTTTGCAATATGGAAAATCGAATTGTTATACAAGGTATATAATAACGAAAACTGTGATAAATAGATAGATCAAGGATTAAATAGTATTATTAAGAAAAGGTGTAGGAATATAAGATAGACATATGGAAATAAAGGCAATACAAATAGTAAAAAGTTGAGATAGGATGGTTGTGAATAAGCTAGTCAGTAGTGTTAGATGCGTTATACGGCATAAGGTATGATGATAGTATAAGGAGTGAATAAGTATTCTTTATAAAATTCCCTTACCAAGTCCTTTCTTGGCAATGTATAAGTTGATAAATAAATAAATCTATCATTAAATGCCGATTGTTGAATTTGATCACAAACTTGAGTTAATATGTAATCGTGTACTCGTGTGCTAAACTTATTTACCTGTATATAATCTATGAAATTTTCAATTTCATAGAATTGAAGGAAATTTGAGGAATTCTATAAAATTAGTAAATAAAATTTAGCACGGGACACAAGTTCTTGGTAACCCAAAATTAAATTTTAATGGCACCTCCATAACCGTACATTTCTGCTAAATTCTATTATCCTACATACACCCATTCTGTATAAAATACAATAAGACGACGAATACAGCGATATATTAATAATACAAAACTCTTTATTCTTGTATCTCAACTAATAAAAGAAATATATCAATCACGAATATTTTTAAAGCTGCCAGTAATATTTATATATCCGTAAAACGGAAAAATACAAAGATACAATTACAAAAAATAATGCATTTTAAATTTTGTACCTAACATTGTTATGAAACAGCAATTATATTTTGGTGTATAAATGTGAGCTTCTTTATGAATATACGTCTTCATGAAGTAAATATTTCAAAATATCAACTACATAAATAAATTATAGTGTTATTAAAACCACCACCAAGTACATTTCTTATTTTTGCTATGTTAGGAAATATGTATCTTTTTATATGACACAAAAATTATGTATATATTTTTTTTTTCAAAACAATAGCGTATATATTATATTTAATGAATCATCATCTTTTAAAATTTTGCAAGTCCAGTTTTATAATTCGTTAATAAATTTCACATTTAAAAATTAGAATTCTATGCAAGTAAAAATATAAATAAATTCATTGCTCTATCAACTACGTTACAGACCAAAGTATAATATATATTAGCAATCGTTTGGCAAGACTTGGTAGAGTTTTAATACACGCATACGTCAAATTTTATTACCAAAATTACTCATTGAACAAAATTCTTGGAAACAAAAAAACATATAGTTTAAAAAAATATATATATATCATTTTTAGGTTAATATTAGTACAATAATATTAGTATGTTTTTCGGCAAACGTAGCATTACAAATGTAATGCATTAAAAATGGTAATATTAGTCAGTTTTATTCAATGAGCAATATAGGAAATGGAGTCCAGCATACGACACAAACTTTATTACTATTAACAGCGTGTTGGCAATAAGACTTATATTACACTTAAGTAGATCAATGTAATCGGGCAACTTCGAGATATTGCATTTAATAAAGTCATACACTACAGCAATATGGCGTGTGAATATCTATATCGTTAGTTAAATTCTAAGTATTTTTATCACTTTTTTTTCGAACTATGTAGAATGTGAATAACATCGTGCAATATATACATTCTTTTATTAAACAGTAGTCCAGTACAACTCAGGTTGCGCGTTTTCTGGCACGAATGAAATCTGAACTTCGTTAGTCCAAGCATATAAATAAACACGTAAACAACAAGGACATAACCTTAGACGTAATCTATGCAAAACAAAATCCTTCTTAAAACGAAAATCAACTGCAAAATGCATTTTTAAATGTAACGGATAGAACAGAAAAAAAAACTTTATATACTTAATGGAAACGAACAAAAAAAGAGCTGTTACACAAGGGCTTATATTTTCTCAAATGCATTTTTCTACTTTTTATATAATTTGTAATAACTTTAAATATATTAACATCCCTGCGATAAAACTTTCGGGTCAAGCTACAATATTTTTCATCATTACGAGATTTTATTTTTACAACATCCATGTCAAGGATATACTAGGCAACACTAGTAATCACGATTTCCATCGATCTAACGCTGTTTTTATAATTAGAATACATCGTATATACATTCACAGTCATTTTCGAATTAGTACTTCCAAGCCATAATGTTTAATCCAGTTTTAAACAGAGAGAAAACTATCCATGGCGGTATGTCAAAAGATAACGATATTGTAAAATTTGATTATGCCACTTAATATATAAGGATGCAATATTTCGATTCGTTCGAACAATTGGGATATTACGGGAATGAATGTTACAATAATTTAGGCTTGCCATTGGCAGTGGCGTTCATTGTTGAATTTGTTACCGCAATTTCAGCAGCCTGCGCCACTGCTACAGACACGGACTTCTCCACGAATTGTTGGTAGAGTGGCTTCATGAACTAAACAAAAAAGTAAAAATAATTATTTCCATCAGTGCTGGTACTGTTTTACGACAATTATATTACGCGATACCGCGTAATTATGTTATTTTTAAATTTCGAGATTTTTTTATTATTTTTCAGCTACGAGCAGTATTGACTTTGTGAAAATTAATGTGCTAATGGAAGAAGTATTACCAGTTATACGGAAGAAATAGACTTTTTTTTTATGAAGCAATTATGGATGTAATGTTTGGAAAAAAGGTGTTAATCAGTGTTGTTAATAGAGTTATCAAACATTGATTATACGTAGCCGAAAGTCATACCTTTTCGATATTTGCTCCTCCTTAGCACTCAGCTTATGACAGGAATTAAAAAAAAAGACAACAAAAAAGTATAATATTAATGATGTTTCTATAAAACGGCTCTGGTTGGTAAGAAAGAAATGTGCGAAACACAGACACGTGTAAGAAACACAAAGAGTTGAAGAGAGAAGCAATTCGGAATTAAAGATAATTACAGACTAAAATTAGAAAAGAAGAAAAGCGTGTGATCAGATGTAGCCATGTCTACGAAGATCGCGATAAGTAAAGTGACATATAGGTATTGCAAATACAATTACGATAATGGACAGGATTAGGTATCTTAATGTATACGTTAATTTATAACAAAGATGAGCGCATAGCCAGACCTGTTGCAATAAAAAAACATTACATATTAATTGTTATGTGGACATCATACGAATTATGTAGTAGTAATATAGTGTACACATATTGCGATTGACAAGTGCTGCTTGTACGTGACATAAAAAGACAAATAAATTTTCATGTATGTGATTTTAGTGCAAATTTAAATATTTGATGAATATTTTATGCTATTAATTTTTAACAACTTCATGACATTTATTTTAGATTAAATCAAGACCAAGTACGTTAAAAAATGAATAAATTTTATAAAACGTTTATAAAACTAATAAGTAAAAAATCTCTACCTTTCTCAAATATCGTTTTTCATTAGAACACTGTGAACATATACAATCTTTATCAGAAATGTGTTATATTCGTACGATAAGAATTGAAAGCAGATACATAGAGAAAATAAGGAATATTCGATAATTTTAAGAAGATTCTTATACTCACATTTTCCCATATCTTACTGGCCATGTCATCTATTTGTGTTCCAATTTCTCTGAATTCTCCACTATACCTAAATAAAAAATTCGAACAAAAGATAGTACTTAAAAATTCTAATTGTAAGATACTAGAAAATTGTAACAGATGCAGAGGTATTTTATATACGTACCTTATATATGCCCATAAGACGAGCGTGAGTAGGCCAACACCCATAATAAGATTACACACATTTGCTAGCGTGTACAGACCAACAAGACCAAATATTCCGGACAGAATGTACATAGTAACGGCAATTGCGAAAAACACTGCTGGCGTTCGCGCCGCTTTAAAAATATTTTTGCTCTCATTGTGCGCCTTAAATTGCGTGAAAGCGTCATCCATGTCCTATATTATAAACGGAAAATAATTTATTATAAAAACATTTAAGAAAAATATTAAGTTAAAAATAATTAGAAAAACGGTAGTTAATTAAATGTGCATATTTACCTTAATCAATTTTTCCATATATATTTGACTGAACTCTTCTCCGCCCATCTTTCGTTTATTCTGGAATTGACGAAGAGCCATATCCATACAATGTTGATGTTCCGATTCTAAGTGAGCGGTCGCTAAAAATGGTTTCGTTCCACCGCACACGGTCTCCATCATCTGAAGGTATAGATCCTTAGCTTCTGCTACAGCGGTTAAGTTGTTAGCTTCCGCTGTGGCCTGCAAATGCAAAATGCGATTACCGCGGTTGAGATGATTGCCTCTGTTCCAGTTGAATAAAACAAAAGATCGCGTCTTGTAAATAAAAACCGCAAATTATTAGAAACCACTAAATTACACGTACCACGAGCATGCTTTTCGGTTCGGGAAGTTCGTCTCCTCTGTAAAGATTGATGTAACTCTTGAAATATTCCAGTAGATCTTTCGCTTTAACGACTTGCCCGTTGATCTTCTTCGTCACCAGATTTTCCGGGGCTAGTATCATCGGTATGAGCACTTTCAATTGTTTCTTGAATTCCGCCTGTATTTCGGATAATCTACCATCGAATATCGGATTCGTCGCGATTTCGAGACCGGGATGCGGCATGAGGAAACACGATATGTCCGAAAAACAGGATTTAATGTGCTTTCGCAAGCTCTGCAATTCCGGATGCTGTCTGTCGGAAATCTCCAGTCTTTTGTCGAGCAATTTCTTTCCGCCGTTCGCGCCGTAATCGGCCTCATACGGATAAACCCAGTCTCTGACTAAGAATTGCAGTCTCTGGAAGGGTGTGCTGTCGGAGCTTTCCAATGCCAATCTACCGTACTCGGTGAACAGCTGCAGATGCTGAAGATCGTCCTCCTGGATGTTTTGCGACAAATTGTATATTTGCACGGAGGACAGCATCGTACTCAACGCGAACACTGTCGCGCAATCCCGCACCGTTGACTGACTGTCGAAAGCGCCTTGAGTGTCCATGAGAATCACAGCGATTTCTTCACCGTTCGCCAAAGTAGCGGGATAAACCTTCGACCACATCAATATTCCTGTGGTGTCCCTCTCGGAACCGCCCCTCCATGAGAAACCACTCAGTGGCTCGTCCTCAGCGCCCAACCAGGATTCGGTATTATTGTGTAATGTGTACTGTTGATTGGCGTGATGCATAAGTTACGATTATCCAACAGATAGATTTTGTGTCGATCGATGAGCGAGCATGAAATAACATAAATAAAAATTTAATTAATATTTGATTGTGTGCATAGTCTTTTTTTTAAAGACATCGATAATTAAAGTAACAGAATGTCAATATCAAATTTAAATATCACCCACCTTGCTGTTCATGTACCGAAGAAAAAAGTCGAGAAGGAAACTTTTGCCTTTTCTGAAGGCACCTGCAACAGATACCACAACGACACTTCTATCTTTCACGTCGTCTTGTAAGAGAATTTCTGACAATGCATCTTCATCTAATTCGAAGGTATGATCTGGATGGGCAAGTACTACTTGAACAGGCCGCCCACCATCCGCGTCTCCATCTTGCATCTGTACGTCTTCCATTGGCGAGAGCCTTTCTATCCGATCAAACTTTCCTAGATGATCTGCAAGAGAAAATTGGACTAAAATATCTCTATTGCAGACAATAGATAATAATAATGCAGATAAAAAAATTGAGTTATTGTAGAAGAATAAAAAAAAATATTTCATTATTTTATCTTCATTATCTTCAGAGATAATGAAGCATTCAAAAAATACATTTTATTTTTTTTAAGTTACAAAATTTAAACAGCATCATCGATATTTCCAAAAAAGACAGCAAGAGAAAGGATACAGTGAAATATTATACACGATCATGCACGGTGGGTTTTGATACCAGTCGAGTAAACGGACCCCCGATAATTTATTGCACACGGCGCGAAAATAAATAGTTCAAGAATAAAACCGTCGCCATATATCTAACACGTTGACCTATACCTTGAATCAGCTGTAAACTTGATTGATAATTTAAATCACTGATAAAAGCGGCGGAATCAACTGATTAAAAGAGCAAAAATAAACTAAATGTAAATCACCAAAAGACTGTATTGTTAAATATTTCATCAGTTATATTGAATTAGAAAAATGTATGCGTTTATTTACAAATTAATGTTGTCTCTTTATAATCTAAAAAATCTAAAATAAAAGTTATTCGCTGCAGTCTTAATTACATTGCGATGTAATAGTGTCACCATGTAATAAAAAGTTTTTAATCTTAATATTAGCGTATGATTTTTTCTAAATTCAAGTGTAGATAGATTTCTCTCTGAAATGTTATTTTCTGGGAAGCGCGTAGAAAAGTTGAGTTTCTCCATTAAAAAGAAGTGATACGAAGAATACCGTTATATGATACAAAGACGGAATACCAGACTTTAAAGTAAAATAGATGAAGCGAAACAAGAAATGCTTGTTTTCAAACCGTCATACTACCGTGTAGTATAATAAGCAAAACTGTTAGACCGTTATTCGCATCACAAGATAGGTAACAATTACATGGCAAAAGGACATACTGAGGAATTAGTACAGAAAGGCTTCATTTTATTTTTTATGTTTTTATTGTCGTAAAATAATAAAAACAAATTGATATTTACTGGAAAATGTTTTATAAAAATTGTGTTTCAAATTGCTATTTACGTGTCACAAATAACGTTCATTCTCCAATTATCACCACTATTTTTTTATTTTTGCGATTTTTTACATTGAAATAAACTTTCAATTTTAATGGAAAATTATTATTGTGAGAATCGTGAAATATTCTTTTTCTTCTTATTGATGAACATGTATTTTTTATTTCAACGTAAAAAATCGCAAAAAAATAGTGGTGGTAATTGGAGAATAAGCGTCATTTGCGATACGTAAGCAATTTAAAATAATGTTTACAAAATACTTTCTGATAAATATCGTTGTCTAAAGAAATTTATTTCATCATATCTTGAGGCAAAACTTTTTGTTCTGTTGACATCAAGAATACTCATGAGAAATGGAGATTTCATGATTAACGATAATCAATAATTTTATTACCAACAAGAATTAAATACTCACTATTTATATCCTTTTGTCGTACTCTGACTATTTTGAAACATGATAAAATTTTCATTCGTAAGCAGCGATGAGCAGCAAGTGATAAATAGGAGTGATTAATGGCTGTAATTAGTATAGAGATATAATTCGAGTAAAGCTGCATATTTTTCTGAGATATTTGCAATTCCGACTAAATTCAGCAATATATTGGATCATAATATCGTGTTACATATGGTAGCCGACATTTTCAGTGACATCGCGCGTGATATGCTTCGTCATACCGAAGGCAACACAAGGCGCAGTCATCCATGCGCGATGTCTTCAGTCTTTGCCGTTTTATAATCAGATGACTATTACATTTTTATCGACGAATCTTGCATAATTTTGCAGTCAAGAGTGCTGCAGAAATTTCAAGCAAGTTATATAAACATACATATACTTAAAAAATGTTAAAAATAGTTTCGTATAATAGTAAGAAATCATCACAAGCTGTACATATTCTTTTTTTATATTTTAATTCTCTTTTAAAATTTTAAATTCTTTGCGTAAAGGTGCACGGAGAGAATTTTTTTTAAATTTACTTTGAAAATCATGTCAATTGTGAGACAATATAGTATTTAGGCAAATTTTACTGTGCACTACAATAAATTTTACTGTAAAATACTTATTGTAGTGCACAGTAAAATTTGCCTAAATATTATATTGTCCCACAATTAACATAATTTGCAGGGTAAATTAAAAAAAATTCTCTCCGTGTGGTAATATTATCGCGCAAATTATATTTCTTAATGATTCCCGATCGCAGCACCTACATCAGGGTTACTGCCAAATTATTTCAGGAGCATCCGGAATGTACGAGTATCTTAATAAGATCAAGTGCGCAGAACATATTTTCAATCAGTCAGAGTACGACAAAAAGGATATAAATAGTGAATATTTATTGATTCTTGCTGGTAATCAAATTATTGATTATCATTGATTATCAAACCTCCATTTCTCGTGATTATTCTTGATGTTAAATAATGTTTAGGCCAAAACCGATGCAGTTTTATACGATAAAACACTTCGACTTTTCTCAACAATAGCTTGCGATTACGCCTTGTGAACGAACAGCAATTATACTCGTGCGAATGTTAATTCTACATGGTTCCTCCTCTCTCTCTCTCTCTCTCTCTCTCTCTCTCTCTCTCTCTCTCTCTCTCTCTCTCTCTACTTCCATGACCAGAGCTTCACGTCATCGTTGTTTACGCAGTGCGCACTGTCTGATTTTTACGATTTTTCTTACCTCACGATTATACGAATCATTACCGCATTACAGCCGTAAATACAAGGTCACGAATTCTCTTGTCTGGAAATAGTGAAGAAAGAGAGAATGCACAGATCCATTTAACTAAAGTGTCAGGAAGAACCGAGTTAAGAGCAACAGAGGAATAACGTTACGTGAACACGATATCCAGATTATTTTATAGATTATTTTACAGTTCGATTTTATTCTTCCTATAAATATTATATACGCAAATATTTCTTTTCGCGTAGTTTATCGTTGAATGTTGTTTTAATTTGCGAATACATGAATAATAATTAAATTAATAGATAAAAATATAAAAATAACACGTTGCATTATTCAATGGAATTAAATAATGAATCTTAATTGTAACAGATAACGAAGAAACGACTGAATTTAACAGGAAACTCGTGTCACATCGATCGTTCATGCATTGTAAGGAAAAGTATTTTGTGTGGTTTTCAAGAAAATTTCAGACTTCCCGTGATTTAATAATAAACTTTCACATTGCATCCTTTCCTTCGAGTCGCCTGAAATACATGCGACCGAGATATTACGAGGACTCACGTAAATTCGAAAGAACAAGACGGCTTTCGTCGCGAATGATCCGGAAAAGTTGTAAACTCCGAACAAACCTCGCGCAAGAATCGTAGGTGGGACTCGACGATGCCTAGAAAGCTACTGCCGTGCGAACACCGTGTGGAAATTTGATCCAGCGAGACTACCTGACTATACCAACGGATCGTTTTTGTTGATTTTCTTTCGTATACAAAGGAAAAGTGCTAGAGGAAAGAGAGACTCTCGTGCGCGTGCAAAAGTCGGTCGTCGCTTCGAAATTCACATGGAATCGTTACATTTTTAGGAGGCTTTCAGAGACACGGCGACGGTTGTGATCAGCGACGCGATTTACGAACTAGAAAAGGCGAAGGGACGTGCGAACAAATAAACGACTTGAGGAGAGCAATCGAGGAAAACACTTAGCCGGCTAAGAAAAGCAACTCACCCATATTTTCCGCTGTCTTATGCTGTTGTCGTGGTACACGGTTCACGTTCTCGTCGAGGGTCGTCATCGGGGCCTTCTCGGCTGAAAGCAGATTTTCAATACGTTTATATAGGTCACTGTTTTCATCACTGTTACGTTCGCGTAAAATTCTGCCTTACAGTTTTACAAATACCTAATTAAAAAAACAAATCTTGATTAAGTAGATTTAAAATCGATAATGACTCATCGATACATTTCTACCCAGGCTCTTAATAAATTTATAAATATGGAAGAAAAAGTACAAACACGTATCTATCGCAAAGAAATCCAGTTGTTGAAATCAGTGTTCCCTAAAAATTTCGCCAAGATTTCAATCTCTGACACAGAAGAGTAGCAATCAAAATTTAATTATTCTATTTTATTGAATTTTTGACTAAGCAGATTTAATTATCTTACTATTTACATAAAAAATTATTTCAAGAAGAGGCCAAGAGGGGAGAAAAAAAAGAATCGGAGGACACTGATTCAAACAGCTTCATGAACCAGGCACCGAGTAAATCGACATGACACAATCGTGTTTCCCAAAAAATCGTCTGACAAACTAACTCGGCTTCTGCTGTGATTTCACGAACACGCTACGTTGCGTGCCATTTCCGAAATCGGAATTGTGAGTCGTCGTCACATATGCAGTCTGCTGCGTTCTCGTTCTCGGCGGTCTCGCCGGTTCCTTCGGTACGTCCGACGGCGGCCTTGACCCAGAAGGGTCGTTGAGCCGTTTCCGTCTCGGCGTTATGAGCTTTCTTTCGGCCATGTCATCGGCTGCCGTACATTCGTCACCGTATTCGACACCGCACCTGACGCCCGACAAGATCGAAACGACCGCGAATTAAATATATATATATCGGGGAGAAGCACTCGACCGCGACCGCGTAGAGAGATGCACTGTGCACACACGATACTCGAGTACTAAGTCCGCGAGGAGAGCCAGACTAGAAATATCCCGGTCGCTCTGGTGGCCGGCACTCTTGAGGCCGTGCGTGACGGCGAACCTCGCGAGTTGGCAGCATCCCACGAGTGGCGATGCCACACCGACAGAAATCAACTGACACAATCGTAGAAATGTAGTGGGGCACACGCGCACATGGGCGCCGACAGGATTTTCTTCGAGTTAACGCATGTGTCCGAAGTTTAACTAAGCAGACTACAGCCTCGCGTCACTTGGAGAACCGTCGAGCTATCCGCGCAATTGATGAAAGATACTTTGCAGACAATTCATATTTAATTCACTTAAACGTGTAATATTATTTTGTGAAAAGAAAGAAATCTCTTATATTATAGCTTAGAGCCATAATCCATTATTGTTAAGAAATCTAACACGTCTTTAATTATATTTTAGAAAACTGCATCTCCAATCGTAGAGTACAGCATACTTTGAGTTAGACTTTCAACATCCCACACTTTGCTACAATTAATCTTTTATCGTAATAAATGTACAGTTTTGATTAGATAAAACTAGACTTTTGTAATTGCAATTTTAAAATGCCTTTCCAAGATACGAGTGCACTGATGCAGTTTCCTGGTGACGCCGATGGAAATCGATATATATTCGCTCCGTTTTTATGTTGGAAGTGCAGGGAATAGAAACTGGCATGAAAAATGCAGGACAATATGACGACGATGTCATCGACGTCTTTGCGTTAAGATGTTGCTTTACGTCGTGAAGTTCAGCTTTGCTCGACACATGAATATATACTAGCATGAATTTAATGACCAGAGAGAACGAGTGCGATTAGTGATAAAAAAGAATAAAAAAATAGCGATGATCAGATGTTACATTCGATCAAAAGAACATCATGTTTTTAAAGTGTTTGATATTATCGAGCGTTGATCACTTAATTGTGAAAGAATTATGTAATGTGAATTAATATTATATTATATAAATGTTAGATTATCTTATGTGCGCATTGTACGATTATACAAATCTATCGAAAAAATAAAAGAAAGTAAATTTTATTATTATATTCCGAAGAAAATGTAATATAAAAAAATATACTTTTAATATGTATCCTATATTATTAAATAATATTGCCATGATAAAAAATCAAATGCTTAATCAGCTTAGTAAAAATAAAAATAAAAATAATAAATTCTTTGTACGAGCAAAAATATAAGAAATATTTAATAAAAATTTTGCATTAACGATTGCAAAACGAGCAAATGCAAAGTTTAAAGGCTACTATGTGCAGCGCAATAACTTAATTGAACATTGCCAGCGGCAATAAATTATCACTGATACCGATCACAAAGAAGCAGTTGTTGACGTCACGATATTTATACAATAATACTTCCTCTAGAAAAACATTTTATTATAATGCTTTCAATAGTTTCAATTATTTCTGCTATATTGAGACGAGATTGTTGTGAGATGCGATATGAAAAATAATAATTGATAACCAATACATCAAAATTCTCACGACTAAACATAATTTCCAACGTCTCAATCAATCTACCGTTCGTGTCATCTAAATAGGAATAAGATTTGGCAAAATTCCATAGTCTGTATGCAAAACAATCCACACGATATATCGATTCTAATTACATTTTACGAAAAAAATTCTAACAAGATGAAAAAGTCCAAAGATTGCAATAACGGAGAAAATAATGTCACAAATTATATTTAAAAAAATTTAACAAATTCATGTACAAGTTTTCCCAACAAATTTGTCAACGTTTTCAGATTTTTAAATCAATTTAAAATTTAATGAGAAAATTTCTTAGAATTAAAACAACACTGGAAAACTTTTTAGTAAAAAGAATAATTATAATAATCAATTACTTTCTAAACTAGAAAATCTGTAATTAGTGATGCAACATACAAATTAAACGTGCACGTCGGTTAATATTACTTTTTGAATATCATGCATGCACCTTGGACTTTCTTGACCTTTGGATCGTTTTACGTGTTACTTTTTGCACGGACTCGCGATGTACGATACGTGTCTAGTATCCTTGCAAATACTGTATAAGAAATAACGAGCTTAGGTTTAATTTAGAAACGGACGACACGAATAATTTCGTACACTTGCATTCGTGAACGCCAAGTGGGAAGAGGACCGCGCCATATGTCGTAAATATTGGCACAGCATCGTCGCGAAAACTTTTAAGTAATACCTAAATGTTATAAGTAGAAATTATCGAAGAACGTAAATAGATGTACAACATACCGACCTGAATATTCTTTCTATTAAAACTGTGCTTAATATTTAAATATTATAACATCACGTTAAAATATTATTTTTTTTTTACAAAAATATATTACATACGTTATATAACACACTACAATGGCAACTTTGAATAGGTCATTCATTTTTGCGCGTTAAAAAATTCAATAAAATAAAAATTTTCGCAATATTTTAAAATAATTCAGACATTTCACACATTTTTATTTTTACGAATGTACGACATTGATACTGTCGAAATACTAAAAACGAAATATCATTTATTTTACAATACGCACGTTTAGAGAGAAAGATAAAGCATCGTGGATGCTTGGATAAAGCTATATCTCTCGAAAGGACAAGCTTAATCTTAAGCTCTGCACGTCGATAAAGTTTTTTCTGCTTTCAAGGGTACTTGCCAACATTTACGTGCTGCTTTTCTACTTTGTGCGATTGTTAAACCGCACTGCGCCGATTTACGAGGTAACGTCGTCAAAGCAAACATAATCAAAGCCGGTGGCTACTACGCCAGAAGAAATTTCACCAATGAGGATTTCAGATCGGTACCCGATTTGCACGGGTGGTAAACCGTGAAGTTAACGATCGCGGTGGGTGTTACACGTGGAATTATACGATGTGCTTTCCTAAGATATTTATTTTACGAAGGTATATCCCCCCCACTAGAGCATTTACACCGTGCGGAGGCAAATGTTTTACGACAAATGAGGGTTTATTGCGAGAAGAGGAAAAGCCGAATGCGAACGGGATCGGCGCGAACGAGAGGGAAATAAGAAATCGCCCGTCTTTCCTCTCTCCTCCCTCCCTCATATAAACGAACGCGAGTGAGTTAGGATTATTATTGTGGCTCCTTCAGACATCTCAGTTATCGTTAATCTCGCGATGCTACGCGGCGCGGAGTTTATTTGTACTTCCATCCCCGCGGCCGTGTATGCCGAGCATAACCGCGACTGCCGAAGTTTATGCAACAACCGTATGCAGTTTAGTTATGAGCTTTGCAACGGCCCGAAAGGTTCTGCCCCAGCGCGATTTTGCGAGTTGCAGCCGGCAGGTTCTTAAATCTTCTTCATGGCTGGCGTTACGCCGAATGAAATAAAGGTATACGGTATGTACCTTTCGATACGCGGAAGCGTTATTCCCTCGTATTACGTCGCAAGTATTAATCTTTAACGATCGATGAAAATTTAATAACCAAAGCAATCCGAGACAATATTTATTTCTCGCCATTGGTTCGTCTATTTCGATGCAATTCGTAAGAAGCGGATTATATTTTTAACGATTTCATAAGGAAATAGAATCGCGATTCGTATATATAAGTATATCGACCGAACGCATCTCGAGTTTAATTATGGAAGACACATTGGTCTATTGTAATACACTTTACAACGACAGGTTTTATTGCAGTTTCCAGCTAATTGACTCGCATCCTACGCACGTGTACAAAAGTGTAGCTTGTATAGAAATCGATATCATTGAACTTGCCTCTTCTGAAGACCACGCTTTACAAAGTTACCGGTGATAAGTTGAACGCGTACACGTCTCTTTCGTGTCGTGCGATAAAAAAAAAAAGAGTAGAAATACTCGTCGTGCCACATGCAATAGCACTTATGCTCGTTTTTACTGCGAATCCCGACTAACTCGATTGCATCGTTGCGCGGGTTACGAGAAAAAACGGCTGGGGATACGACTGTGTCTCAAAAATATACTGTCATGATCGCGTTTTAGAGAGAGCTTGCCCTCTCGAGAGATTGCGGCGTCGGTTATGCCTACGAACGCGTTACACGAGGTTCACCCTTTTATTTTACAACCTCGATCGCCGCGTGTCGCCGTTCAGGAACTTTGAATACGAAACGTCATCGCGCGGGAGAGGGCATAAAAGTTCTTTATAGACTACACGTGAAACACGACTCCAACCCGCCTGTTAAATCCTTAAAACGTTGACGATCCTCCGGAGGAAAAAGAAAACTTGTCCCCATTTCTCTCGCGAGAATTCATGTTTTTCCACGCCGTCGCGCTATCGCTGGATCTCGATTAATGGCGCTGCACGACCGATTGGCTTCCGATTCATTCGACTGAATAATGCAAGTCTAATTAGCGAAGTGCACAAACGCGACAGAGAGAGAGAGAGAGAGAGAGAGAGAGCGCTCGATGAATCCGACTCGAGGGCGGAGATATGCAGTTTACATGTTAAGTATGTATATGCGCGCGTATTGACGCGCCCGAGAACCGGAGCACGCGTCGGACTCGATCGTCAGACCTCTCATCAGCCAATTGACATCCTTTGTACAACTTTACTTTGTATATCACAGTTCGAGTTATTACTTGAACAAGATTGCAAATTGACACGACGCGCGCACATACCTATATCCTCATCATTTTCAAAATTGAGTTTTTTTCCCCGCTTCTCGTAAACGTATGTAACACACAATCGGGCGTATCGGTTTTTCCTAATTAGAATATCACGTCCACTTGAAAAAGAATAATTGCTAATCAGCGGCGCGGAAATGTAAATAACGTATATGTGTTATCAGTTGAAGAGTAGTGTGTCAGCTCCAAGCGGATGCGAGAGAAACTCTAAAGAAGAAACACAAGTCGTAAAGTCATCAGTATAAGATGAAAAAAGGAAAAATCGTTACGATCGTACACGATCACGTGTATGAAAGTAAGATAGTAGAATCAAGGTATAGCACGCAGCGGAAACTTTTCCCTCGTTTGAGCCTAATCGCAGTCCAACTATACGTCTTGCTGTAGAGAAAGAAAAAAAAACGTCTCATCGGGAAGAGAAAGGTGACACGTCCCGCAGGTGGACGGCGAAGTACCGCAGAAATCAACTTCAATTAACTCGGTGAATTGTCTCGAGTTCGCCGTCGTGCGGGTTGTGTTCGCCGGACTTCCGCCTAATTTATCGCGGGCGGCTCAGAAATTTATTGTTGAGGCGTTGTTCCCGTCCGGCGACGGACCGTCGTAAACTATCGGGAAAGCCGGGGGAAGGAGGGATCCCGAGCCTCGTTTCCACTGGACGTGCATACATGCGGCGCAAGTAAAGCTATCGATGCTATTCAATAAAACACGCGCCACGTCGGGCTGAATAGGCGTATTCGCCAATATGCGACTCTCATTTCCAATCCCGGTATACGGCTATACGCGTTCACGTGTATGTGCGCGCGCGTATGTGTGCGTGTTATTACAGCATTGCGCCGCTTTGAACGTGCCGACGAGCTCTTCCCATTCAACATATTGTCGCGCGGATTTTATTTAATGCGGAATAATATTACGACTTCCTGCTGCGAGAGAGGCATCGTCGACGAGAGATGAGACAGTACGAGAGACAGAGCTAGCGAGAGCGCGCGCGCGAGAGAGAGAGAGAGAGAGAGCGCGCATCGGATTTTTCTGCATCGATGTGAAAAAACGCGTTCGCTAATTTCGCAACGAGAGAGAACCATCACGCATACGCGCGTGTGGCTCGTCGTCAGATTAAAGCGACACGCCGATTCTAAAAAGAGCAACTTCGTTATAACGTACGAGCCCGCCGTTCTCGCGTTTCCTCTCGCGCGGCATTGTTTGCCGTCCTTTGATACTTTTTAATTCCGGAAATCAAATCAGTCCGACGCCAGCGGGATACTCCTGCAACCTGATTATCCGCGTCGCGCTCTTTCCCGCGCTTTCGCTTTTGTTTTCTATTACTCCGGTTAATATATTTTTCTCCAGTGATAAAATAAAGTACATCTGAAACACAACGTCTGTGGCGAGTAAGTGAGTGATGACTGAATTACATTAATTTTACGATACTTTCAGAGAGTTGCAATCTCGTCTGCAATCACGTGGCCGCAAATTAACTGAATGAGCGCGATTGTAGATTAATATTGATCACGCAAGGGGAATCTCTTGTAATTTCAAAGTTCTCGACGCGAAAAGAATCATTGGTTGTGGAATATTTTTTTAAGGTTATAAGTATAAACTTGTAAAATAGATTCTGGCAATGACTAATCAATTTGAAGAAAAAGAAAAACTGAAAGAAATAAGATTCAATCTCATGTTGTACTACTCTTGTAATGATATGTATATCCACACACATGTAATGTGTATTCAAGCATTTCCTTCAAAGTCACTAAAGCATACACGTAAATGTAGAAAGCAACACGTAACCGGAAACGGAGAGGTACAGCAGCGCGTGCTTCTTTCACCGTGTCGATTTCCCGATTCCGTTTCTTTACATCGTGTTCTAATTTTACATTAAACCTAATACATCGTGATCGACCGTCGAGATTGCTATTCGCCGCGCTTATGCGACATAAATGCGTTGCATGATTAAAATGATCGTTATGTATAGTCGGAACGTCATTACGTCAGGCGTTACCTTATGCGCATCGCTGTGCAACAACCTGCTTTAAGACGACTTGACGGAAACCTACCGAGAGTTAACGCATCGTTCACCGGGGCGCAGCCTCTGACTGCGATCGCGGTCGGCCGGCACGACGCATGACGTATTCGGCGGGACGAGCTCGTGCAATTCTCAACCTTGCTGACTAATCGAACGCAAGGTCGCGCGGATATACGCAGCGGGGCGCACGCACACACACACGGTGCTGTCACGCTTTCGCGCCGCGAGCGGGCGGCACCTACGAGACACACACTCCTCCCGAGGTCCGCGCGTCGTCATCCTTTTTTTATTTTTTACAGGATCCCCTCATCTCATCCGTTACGCGCTGCGGCGCGCGCGATATTTATAGGCGCTCGCGTCGGCCACGCGACGACGACGTGGTCCTCCCGTTACGCCAGCATGTTATAACCTCCACAAGAGAAGAGCGGCCGCCGCTCTCGACGCCGTCCCTGCAAATCTCGATGTCGTCTCTGAACGATTAGCTCGATGGCTCAATTACACACGACGGAGGCGCGGAACGCGTAGCCCACGCACGTACCTGGTTTTTGTCGAAGGAATTTGCGCGACGTCACTCGTTCTCCTTCTCTCTCTCTTTCTCTCTCTTTCACTCTCGCTTCTCTCTCGTTCGCTCGCTCACTGACTTTCGTCCCCTTTCTCATTTCGCCGTCTCGTGATTTACGAATTTACGCGTCCATCGCTCGTGAGCTGGAAAAAGAAATTACAAGGGCACGAGGGGATCCAGCTGAGATTCCGGGGTCGGGAGAGGAAAAACAGCATCGGCAAGGTGTCCAGGCGTTAAGCAGGCATGGACACGGCGTGTCGCGCGCGGGTCACTCGCGCACAGCTGGCCACGTCCGAGGCGCTTGCGTGGGGCGCGTCTCGCGGCGGACTCGCCACTTCGACGACGACGTGCGAAACGATCGACGCCGCCGCGGCGTCTCGCCGGCGTCACCTCGCGCCAGACGAAAAACGACGAGAAATCGGAACAAAATACTCACCCACATACGAGCTGCCGTGGTCGTCGTACTGTTTACGTTGCCCAGCGTCCGCCATGTTGCGCCGCGCGTGACGTCACCTCCGCTGTTGCGCGCCACGCCACGGTCGCCGCTCGCACTTTCGCGGCGAACTTCACCACCCGTGTCCGGTGTCACCGCCGTGAGCACGCGCGCGCGCGCGCTTTATCACAGTGTCCGCCGTTCGACGCGTACGATCGATATTCGGTCGTTGCATCGATTTTAATCGGCTGCTTCGCGCCATGGGCAATGCGACTGCTGCTGCGAACGTTAACGGCAATCCTCTGGTAACGATTCCACTGAGTCAGTACCTCGAAGTATCCTTGTTCGGGGATCTGCATAATTGTACTACATGTAAGGTAATGCAGCTAATATCAATCAAAGGGGTTTTATTGAATATATTTAATATCCGCTCGCAAGAATCGCGAAGTTAGGCTTCTATTAATTTGTAGATCATTCGCGGCATGTAGTTGATTATCTAAACTACGTCGATATGAAGATTTCGCTCGCGAGACCGATAAAAAAAAACAAAGGTTTCTCACGTAGCAACCAAGTCAACGCACGCGACGGCGATTTGCATTTTGCGACGTGACATATCGCTTTTTCGGTGAATCGCGAAATATGAATTGCGAAACGCGAGAGGCGCGCCTGCGTCGTTAAATTAAATGTATCTGATTATCGCGTATCGGAGTGAAGTGCGGCGCGCGCGCCCGCGCGACCGCCATTTTGGCACGCCGCGGGGAGCCGACCAATCCGCGTCGCGGACGGTGCCTTCGAATCTCGCGGCAGCGTTCACGCATGACGCCGTCTATAGTCGCGAAGTCGGTGGCCGGTAGCGCACGTACGCTCGTAGAATCCGCGAGAATTCGCGAGAATCCGCGGCAAGCGTCGATCGTCCTCGTTGTCGCTGGTGATACCTAACGTCCACGAGTCACGGGGGAGAGCGCGCATCGTTCCGGGTTTCGTGATTTCGGCAGCTGTACAGCTGCTATAACTTTCGCCGACGAACGGCCCGATTCGAGGCGGTATAGCGATGGCGGTGGCGGCGACGCGTATTCGCGAATTACCGTAAAGCACGAAACGTACACACAAGTCGGTGAGAAGAGTAGAAATATATAGAGCGCTTGAAAGAGGGATTCGAGATTTGAAGGGTCAATCGCTCCGAAGGAGGAATCCGAGGGGGATCAGTCTGCGCTTTTCGAGCCCCTTTCCCCCTGGCGATCCGCGTACGGACTTCTCGCCTCTCCGAAAGATGGCGGCACGGCTCATCTGCGCGTCATCGCGTCCGAGTGCGCGCTCGATAGCGCGGTCTAGGTACTTGGCGTATAGAAGCCCGTGATCGCGGATATACCCCATGGTGGAACGTGGATGCTGTGTGATGCGCGGTGGTTCGTGTCTCGTACACGCGCGAGTACGCACGACGATACGCGGACGGCCGTGGTGGTGCCCGTCGACGACGACGACGACGACGACGGATGACAACGCGCGCCTGTGACCGCGACGTTACCGCGAGTAGATCCTCTTCGTTGTAACGCCGTAAACGTTTCCGCGCGAGAGTGACAGCCGTTCGTTCGGCGAGACGAGATGCGGCCCGCCGACAGCAGCCCGTGCTGTTGCGTCGTGCGCGCCGACGATCGCGACGCGCGGCCAGCCAGTCCGCTGGAATAGTCGACCGCGACGGGTTGGTAAACAAATCTCGGGTGGTGGTGGGACGAGTCGGCGAGGCGCGACGAGGGAAAGGCGCGCGTGAGAGACTGAGACATCGTCGCCGGGAGGGGTGACAGCGCGTGGCGAAGATCGAGTTAGAAACGCAGTGTTCCTCGCGGCGAGACGCGGTGAGAGCGGAAATTCAAACGGCGTTCACGGAAGGACCGAACGAAAGGTGGGACGGAGACAGAGAGCGAAAGAGATATCCGCCGATCGCGGTTCCGATGTAATTTTCTCGCGTCGCGTGTGTGTTGGTGAGTGTGTGTGCCGCGTAGTCGAAACGAAACTTATCGAAGCGCGCCTTTTCGGAACGGTCGTCGCGTGACGACGCAGCGGACTCTCTCCGCCGAGTGACGTTGCGCGGGTGTTGACGCGGGCGTACGCGTACGTGGTGTCCGTTGCGCGACGTGCGCCGTGTTGGCCAGTAGCGATCGCGATTCCGTCTACCTACGGTCGACCTGTCACACTTTTGACAAACGCGATTCCGCGCGAGTGAGTTCTCGTTCGCCCGTGTATAGAATCCGCTCGCACGTGATTCTCGCGCCGCGAGCGTGGAACTTTGGTGCGACGCCGCCGCCGGCCCTTTAAATCGCCCGGGGCGTGCCCCCCCCCTCCCCCACTACGAGGCGCGCGTGTAACGGTGCCCCCAGAGCCCCCTCTTCGGCCGTTTAAATCCCACGAGGTCGGTCGGCTGATCCGAGGTCGGCCGTGTACCGGTTTCTCGACGCGTTTAAAGGGCCCCTCGGAAGTGTCTCGATCCCTCGGTACGGGCCGCGCCGCGCTCTCGCTTTCGATGCCGCCGCCGTCGCCGTTTTACGAACGCTCTTACGGCACCGCGGCCAGTCACGCGCGCGCGAGATCGTAAACTCCCCGTGCGAAGATTAACGGCGCGACGCTTGACCGTGTTTTGGCAGCGATCACCGAGGTCCATCCCCCGCCTGCTCGCCGCCGCCCATCCTCCAGGTCTTCCTTTTGCCTCCTTTGGCTCGGCCGCAGCCTCGGGACCCGAAGAATTATGTAACCGCTCGCCGAGAAGCCGCCGACCACTGAACCCGCGCCCGCCCGGCTCGGAATGCGGGATTTCTTCGCAGTTTTCGGCGAGACGTGTTTGGCTTTGTGAGTACCACCAGGTCTTTGTTTCCCTCTCCTTGGCCGTCGCTGGCGCCGGCGCAGGATCCCGTCGCCGTTTTGTTTCTATGCGAAAATTAATCCTCCGATACCGAGCGTACGCACGCTAGTTTTTACGCCACTTTGAACCGGACGTTTTGCGCGACGAGTATTTATTACTTTTTTAGTCGCTTCAAAAGCACGCATTTTTTGATAATAATAAAAATGGTTATTAAAATTAATGGAAGTTGAAGAACCATTAATTGTCAGTGTTTCGTTCGAAATACCTTGTAGAAATGAAATTCAATATATTTTTTGAATGTTTTAAATACATTCCGCAATTTGCGCTTGGTATCGGGAATTAATTTCGCTGTGAGGTGGCCAGAAAGGAAATGAATAGCGTTTAATTAATAGCTAAATAATATAAATCAATAAGTCGATCAAATATATGATATCCGTACTCGAATACAATTTTTCCAATGGAAGAAATAGAACATGTCTTTTTTTCTTAAAACAGAGAAACTGTCTGAAATGTGATCTAGCCAACGTATTGATTCTATTTTAACGAGGGTCTCAAAATAATTTCCGCTACTAAGAATTTGAGCGTTTCAAGTATGCATTAACGCACCTGCATACGCCGCGTGTCGCGCGAAAATTTGCATAAACTCAATGCATATGTATATCGCTATACGAGAAACTGTAAAGTAACTATATGTATGACGCGAACTCGCGCGCGTCGTTGAGATATTAAAATATTAAGATTCAATCGATAGCTCATTTTCTCCGGGCGGGCGTTATAAAGCGACTTTTAACGAGTTCGCGATTGTCGACACGATGCGCGCAGCTGACGTTGCTTTTGACTGACGAAATTTCGGTTAAAACGAGCGAAATTCTAGCGGACGCGTCTTCGCGCGCGCGCACGTACAGAAACGAGTTTCAGAGGAAGCGAAACATGTTCCCTCGCCACGAATATCGAATAATCGCCGTGTGTGATAGTCGATACCTTCGCTTGTTGTCGACGCTTTTTGCCTCGAGCAACACGCGTAAAGAGAATAAAAACCGAAAAGATAATACCTCCTGTGCACTTTGACGCCATATCGCTCAAGGAAAATACGATAAAAACTAGGACGCGTGTAAAAAAGAGTCCGTAATTTAATGTTAACTCGCGTTCGTGAAGAACCCCCCCCCCTCATATGCATACAATTACGTACTTTTTCCTTATTCGTATTATGTAAATGTATATACATATGCGAATTATTATATACTTTCGATAACTTGTTTTTTTTTAATTCAGAGATACAAATAAATAATGAGTTTCAACTTTCGCCGTCTTAGTCCATTCTTATCAAACGAGTATTACAAATCTTATTCTTATTTTTATTACATCTAAATAATATCCTGCTTTCGTTTTTTCTCAAATTATTTTATTTAAATTAGTTTATTGCGAGTGTTGAGCTCACGAGTCCACCGAACACGTTTACTAAGCATAAATGAATAGATTTCGCGAGTCATCTTTGCGGTATAGCCTTTTCGAATTATTTATTCCAATTCACAAACATATTTCATTATCAATAATTATTTTTAAATACGACGATAATACAATATTTTAAAAAATTTTGTCAAATATGTGAAATTTATTTTACCTATTTTATCACTCTCTGATTATGTTTCTTTTGTGCTGTGTAACGTATAATTTTTCATTCATGATATTCCTATGTGTATTTCGCAATTACGATTATGATCAGTTTATCGAAAAAATATTCGACATGTTGCATGAATAATTGCTAATGACGTGTCTCGATAATTCGATTTTGTCATTTTCGTCACAAATCACTCGACCGACGCGATTTAAGAACCGCAGTGACCACGTTTTTCGATGTATTTTTTTTTTATCTTATCTCACGATGCGCGTGCTGTAATTATTGAACGAAGTTGTTTCAATGCCGTAAATAAGAGCGGGTAAAAAGACGTCAATGTCGTCGCAGGCACGGTCTCTCTTGTATCGTCATTTTTAACTATACGATTAAAAGATGCCTCGCGGCTCGCGGAGATGCCAAATGTTGTGCCTAATAGATTCCCGTTGCCAAAAGGAGCGCGACCAGCTGCGCGGTATCAATTTATTAATCTGACTTCTCCCTGAGAAACGCGCGCGGGTCGTCCTCGATTATCCGCGCGTATTTTTCCGAGCGGCAGCTAAAACTAGTTTCACAGCGTGGAATTTTCTTGTTAGACACTTAATAATTGCGCGGAGATATTAATTGATAGATGGCATCAGTAAATTACACGAACACTATTGAACTTTTGACAATCGTCGCTCGGACATGTTTGAGATACGACGCGAATCGATCCACCGGCATTCACGCGGGAAAACCGATGCGTAAGTTATTGCGTTGATATTTCCCCTCCGTGCTATTTATAGCCAGAGATATTTGTTTATATTTGTCCTATAAAATACGACGCGATGGTGAAAGCTCTATCGGCAGTCGACGCACGATGCATATAGTTGTAATGAAAAGCCGTGTGCCATTAGTCCGCGTGTCGTGGCCGGAAATGGATGGCTGTTTTTTTTTTCCTTCCCCCTGTCCCTCCCCCCTCCTTTTTTCACGAAAATCGCGTGACATCGCCGCACCGCGACCCGTCACGTGCACGCGCGGCGTTTCTGATATCGCCACCCGACCGACCAACCGACCGACTGCATGTAAAATGCCGCGCCATTCTCGTTCTCCCCCGACATGCATTTCGCACGAGCGAACGTCGTGAAAACCGATTGAACGCGTGCCACATGTAATGTATCATCTTTCCGTTCTTGCCTGAAATTTGTGTTCTACCCGTATCCTCGGATATCGATTCTCTCGGTCTTCTTCCGGCGGACGGACGTGTATCACGGATGGAGAAGTGAATCTTGTTTTTTTAATAATTTCTTTGAGATGCTTGGTGAAATAAAATTGATAGCCGCGTACATACAAGACTTACGATAGATCGTATGATGCAGTATCAGAGAGAAATCAATTCTTCTCAATTAAAGCCTCTAATCTTACTTGAGAAACTTGGAACAAACAGCTGTTTCTCTAACCGCAGTGCAAAATCGTAGCTGTTGTCATTCTATTACGCGTGTGGTAGATTTTCACAAATGGAGCGTGAACCGTAATTTGAAGTTTCGTCCTCTTAGCTCTTCTCTCTCTCTCTTTCTCTCTCTCTCTCTCTCTCTCTCTCTCTCTCTCTCTCTCTCTCTCTCTCTCTCTCTTCTCTCTCTCTCTCTCTCTCTCTCTCTCTCTCCCGATCTTAAACCGAAAACATTCGCCAACTTGCGCGGGCAGAAAATCGAAGTATCGACGCTAGCGGCCGGAGCTAGCGGCGTGTAATTACTCGCACGCTTAATTGCTCTGCCTGGTTTTTTAACGGCCCCGTACGTTCGCTTTTTATTCGCGAAACTCGGAAAAAGAATTCTTCGCACATCCAACCGCTTTCCCGCATGCCTCGGCCCTTTCACTTACGAACTCATCAATCTCGTTGGTTGCTTTTCCGACACGCCGCTCGCGATCCTTCATTTCCAACCGTCTCTTATTCCCTTTCTTCCGCGGCAACTTCGTTCGCGTTACATAAGCTTGCATTATCATATCTGACGTATGTCGCCGTATCTCGTGTTACCGCAGAATTCATTGACACTCGTCGATAAACACAGTCATTTTTATGTAACACATATACATATATGTACGTGCATTTTATGGTATAAGATATTAAGGCAATTTTTGTCGTAATTTTTATAGCACAATATTTAGCGTAGTTTTCTATAATACATATGTAATTCTTTTAATACTAATATGAATATATTTGTGTATTAATTTGAGTATATTTTTTAAATATGAGATAGGTTAATAAATTATAATTAAGAATATATACATACATATACAGATATACATATTTAAGAAATATACTCAAATTAGTACATAAATATATTCATATTAGTATTAGAAGAATTACATATTGTATAGAAAATTACGCTAAATATTGTGCTATAAAAATTACGACAAAAATTGCCTTAATATTTTATACCATAAAATGCACGTACATTATATGGAGAAAAAAAATATATATACATAAATTTCTCTTTGGAAATAGTCCTATGTTACAATTAGTTAATTTAAACGTTGATCAAAATTCACACATTCAGCGCTTTGTAAATATATTAAAGGATAAAATGATTCACAGAAATGTTGGATTTCGATGAAATCTCATGTTTGCCATATAATACGTACGTACAAATTTTGCCCAACGTTTTGCTATTATATCATGTGGTTTCCACCGAGTGCACGTGCCATATATAAACGTGGGTTAATAACGTTACTAACTTCACAAGCCGTCGTAGTTAAATATTTTTGTTCATTGACCACTAACGGCAGACATTAATGTTGGTTCCGATATTATTTAGGAAAGCTTTACAAATTTTCTGTTTTTCGTTCATAATTATCCCATCTCTGTAATATGATATTCAAGTTATTTAATACCTTATCTTTGTTGCACGCTACGTGAGAGCTCCAAAATTTTAATTATATGCTTTAACGTAAATATATTAATAAATGTATTTTAAAATCTTTCAGAATACATCTCGTTCACAATTGTCATTTAATTTCGACATGTGCAAGAATGCGGACCCTATAATAACGTGGTGCACCTGTGTGCATCGTATTTTTATCCTCCTATCGATCGAGCTGTTAACTCGCAATTAATGTCGTACGTCTGTACCATAGAATTTTCGACATTCCCCGGGAGACTTTAATTTTGCGGTGATGGTGGTAGTTTATGTCGTATTTCCTTCCCTCCGTGCATGATTAACTTCTCACGCGTATACACGTACACACATGTACATACACCTATAGACTCATTTTCGGATTAGATTAAAAATTTATACTTTTAGATCTTTATTCGACGTGCGGAAAGCCAGAAAGCATTTTCTGATATCTCAAATCGTAAACACTCGCGCGTTCGCCGATTACACTTTTGTTAGAGTC